CCCTGTGCTCTGCGCAGATAAGTCACACGAGCTCTGTGCCCAGTGCTCTATGCCATGTGCTCTGCGCAGGTAAGTCACAGAGCTCCGTGCCCTGTTATTGGCGCAGATAAGTCACACGAGTTATGTGCCCTGTGCTCTGCGCAGGTAAGTCACACGAGCTCTGTGCCCTGTGCTCTGCGCAGGTGAGTCACACGAGCTCTGTGCCCTGTGCCCTGCGCAGGTAAGTCACACGAGCTCTGTGCCTTGTGCTCTGCGCAGGTAAGTCACACGAGCTCTGTGGCCTGTGCTCTGCGCAGGTAAGTCACATGAGGTCTGTGCCCTGTGCTCTCTGTTCTGTTATTTGCGCAGATAAGTCACATGAGTTCTGTGCCCTGTGCTCTGCGCAGGTAAGTCACAGAGCTCTGTGCCCTGTGCTCTGCGCAGGTAAGTCACACGAGCTCTGTGCCCTGTGCTCTGCGCAGGTAAGTCACACGAGCTCTGTGCCCTGTGCTCTGCGCAGGTAAGTCACACGAGCTGTGTGCCTTGTGCTTTGCGCAGGTAAGTCACACGAGCTCTGTGCCCTGTGCTCTGCGCAGGTAAGTCACACGAGCTCTGTGCCCTGTGCTCTGCGCAGCTAAGTCACACGAGTTCTGTGCCCTGTGCGACGTGTAGGTACCTGAACCTGTCGCACAACGCTCTGGAGCGCATCGGGCCGGCGGCGTTCGGCGCGCTGGCCACCCTGCTGCGGCTGCAAGCTTCGCACAACGGTCTGCGTGACCTCTCTCGCGGCGCCCTCGCGCGCCTCGCCTCCTGCCGCAACATCGACCTCTCCCACAACCGTCTCGACACCATCTTTCAGATACCCATCAGCCTCAGGTAGTCGCCGCTTGTCTAGCCGTGCCGGTAAATACCCCCCTTAATCGCCGCGCTGACGTCGCCGCCCTGCTTGCAGCGAGCTGGACCTTTCCTACAATAACCTGACGGAGGTGCGCAGCAAGACCTGGCCCCCCATGAACGCGCTGCTATCGCTCGAGCTGGAGGGCAACCGGCTGGGCGAGGGAGAGCTGCCCGGCGACGCCTTTGTGCCGCTGCTCACACTGCAACGCCTGGGCCTGGCGCGCAACGGCCTCGCGGCGCCGCCCTGGCAAGCCCTCAACGCCCTCTCCAGCCTCCAGTATCTCCACCTCCAGGTGACCTCTTACTTCCCACCGTCTCGATAGCGACGGAACTCTTCAGGTGGCGTCCGAGTTCGCTTTGCTTAGGTTAATTAATTATGATCGTATCAGTACAACAACATAACGACGCTGTCGAAGTCGGCGTTCGGCAACCTGCCGACCACCTTCGAGGTGGACCTGTCGTACAACGCACTGGAGGCCGTGGCCCCCGGCGCCTTCCGCGGCCTGCCGCAGCTGCTGCGTCTGCGCCTCGCCCACAACCGCCTCGCGCACCTGCCCAATGGCGCGCTGCAGGGACTCGTCGCGCTGCGGTACCGCGCCACTCATGCTACTTTTATTATACCTTACAATACATTAACCCTTTTATTGGAAATATATGTAACCTACTATTTATCAATTTACACAACACACGGAAGGGAGTGAGCGAGAATTATTATATCTAATGCAACATCTCCACCGGTAGACGTAGTATGTAGATAAAATTTTGTAAGCCACAAATGCAGTAGTGAGGTGTTCGCAGCCAGCTGGACCTGTCGCACAACGCGCTCGAACGCATCGACAACAAGACGCACGGCCTGCTCGACGACTGCCTCTCGCTGGAGGAGGTGAGCCTCGCCCTTAGCATCTCCCCGCCCCGCGGCACAGCCTTATCGTGTCTGTGACGTCGCAGGTGGACTTGAGTCACAACCAGTTCGGGTCCCTGAGCAAGAAGACGTTCCCGTCGAGCCCGTGGGTGCCGTACCGGCTGCGCGTGGTCGACCTCAGCCACAACCGGCTGCCCGTGCTGACGGCGGACCTCGCGCACGGCACGCGCACTCTGCTCCGCCTCCGCCTCGACCACAACTACATCGACGACATCCGTCACGGTGAGTGTCCGCTCCCCGCCCCCGCCCCACCACCCCACCACCGCGGAGTGACGTGAGCCGCGCCATGTTGCAGGCGTGCTGGCAAACCTGACGGCGCTGCAGCACCTGGACCTGTCGCACAACCGGCTGCGGGATCTCGTCTCGCGCACCTGTACGTACCTCGCCACCTTCCGCCTCGTCGTCGTCCTCCCCACCTTCCACTAGCCTTTGCTCAAATAATGCATGCGCGCAGCTGAGGCCGAGCTCGTGCTGCCGCGCAACCTGAGCGATCTTGTGGTCAGCGACAACCTGCTGCGGCGGTTGCCGCTGCGCGCGCTCCTGGCCGCGCCGCGGCTGCGCCGATTGGACGTGCGCCGCAACGCGCTCGCGGTCTTCCCCCGCGACCTCGTGCGCCGCGTGCGCGACGGCGCCCTGCACGTGCTCTTCGAAGGTCGGGACGATCGCTAGCGTATTTAAAACGGGAGATAAACGAAATCGGACGGAGAAAATCTTTACACGACTCTGCTCGCAGGCAACAATTTGACTTGCGACTGCGTGACGAGACCGCTGAAGCACCTGGTGTCCCGGCTGACGCGGCGCGAGCTGGCCGACGAGGAGGGCTACGCGGCGCTACGCTGCGCGGAGCCCGCGGCGCTGGCGGGCCTCACGCTGGCCGAGGTGCCGGAGGAGCGGCTGCAGTGCGCCGCGGGCCCGCCTCCCGACCTGCCCACTGACGACGACCCTCTCTACGGTGTGACCGCCGAGCCCGACGTCGTGTTCCGCGACGTGCAGTGGTGAGTGCGAGTGCGAGGTCGCGGGGCCGGGGGGGGCGGGGCGGCGGCGCGCGGGGTGCGGCCGGCGGCTACATGCGAGCGCACGCGTCAGTTCGCAGACGGCGGTGTTCGTGTCGTGGCTGGTGGCGAGCGCGCGCGACGTGGCGGAGGCGGCGCTGGTGGTGCGCGGCGCGGACAACGCGGTGCTGCACCGGGAGACGCTGCCGTACCACGTGCGCTCGGCGACGCTGCCGGTGGCGGGGCCGCTGCGGCGCGCGCTGGAGGACGCCGGCGCAGGCTCGCTGCAGGTGTGCGTGCTGCCGATGACGTCGGAGGGGCGCGCGCTGGACTGGCACGAGACGCAGTGCCGGCAGCTGGAGGGGAGGTTCTCCTCGTGGCCGCGCAAGCTGTCGGTGGACAAGCGGCGGCTGAGCGGGCGGCGGCGCGCGGGGGGCGGCGCGCTCGCGCTCGTCGGCGACTCCATCCTGCTCACGCTCTGCATCTTCCTCGGCGTCTGTTTCCGCCGCCTCGCGGACCTCGACCTCTGACCTCACCCGACTAGAAATCTTGTCAAGGTGAGGGGGGGAGAGAGGGGGTGGTGTAACGAAACATTGGCTTTAACGTTTCTACTCATGATTGAATCTCGTTGTGATTTTTTAGTATTTTTTTACATTCCAATTTTTATATTTTATTTCTAGTATATAAGACAAAATGAATATATACAAGTTTTTTTATATTTATTTACAACGAAGTTTATATATTGTACATATATGATAGTATGTTTAAATACGACGTGAATATTTTATAATGCAAAGTATTCGCTCAAATGTCAATAAAAAAATCCGTCCAAATTTACACGTGTATATTGTTGCAATAAACGATATTTTGATAAGTTTAATGTACATGTTTCATTTCATCCCGAGCTAGCTGCCCATTGCCCACTGTCCACTGCAGGTTGTCCACTGCCCGCTGTATGCTGCTCATTGCCCACTGTCCACTGCCCGCTATATGCTGCTCATTGCCCACTGTTCACTGCCCGCTATATGCTGCTCATTGCCCACTGTCCACTGCCCGCTATATGCTGCTCATTGCCCACTGTCCACTGCCCGCTATATGCTGCTCATTGCCCACTGTCCACTGCCCGCTATATGCTGCTCATTGCCCACTGTCCACTGCCCGCTGTATGCCGCTCATTGCCCACTGTCCACTGCATGCTGTGCGCTGTCCACTGGACTCGGTCCGCTGCCCATTGCCTGCTGTTGAGTTTGGATAAAAGTGAAGGTCACCGTCACTGCGCCATCCACAATAAATACACGGCATATAGTTTTAAATTTTTTATTGCGTCCAAGTGTTATTAAGTGTGAAGTATCGATGCCTCGGCGTTGGGAGGCTCGCCGTGCCCCTCGTGCGGCAAGGTCCGGTAGTCAGTGTCCGTGGCCCAGTCCAGTGCGTGCGGGGTCCAGCCGCTGTGGCTAGCTGCTACGTCTGCAAACGTACCCGCACATCGCACAAAAGGACTTAAAACCAACGGAAGGAACATATAAGCGATTGAAATGTTCTGTTTTTATGTTTATGCAAGACAGAAACAAGCAAGCGCTTCTATTCTGAAAAAATCAAGTTTTTTTTAAATCAAAGAGCAGTTCAGCAGTTCTTAGACAAAGTGATATTCGATTAGCAGTATGACAAGTGACATAACAAAGGTTTTTTTTTCTAAAAAAAAAGAGAAACGAGCGACGGGAACACTGAGGTGGTCATCGACGCTCATGAACATCCGGAACATTAGAAGAACTGCAGTTGCCTCATCATCAGTGTGATATCGCTAATCGAATGTTACTTTGTGTAGGGGGATAAAGTAGATAAGATATTGCATCCGACGTAACGCTAACAAAATGTTGATAGCGTCGATGCGCTCTCACCGGCGCCGGCGGCGGCGGACAGACTCCTCTCGTATCCTGCAACCAGACGGATTCAATTGTCACATTAAAGTTAACTTTAAATAACATTTTATTAGCGTATATCGTCTCGCGAACGTTTTTCTAATTGACAATCATTTTCTAATTGAGAACTACAAGAAACACAAAAGCCCAAGTATCTATAATGCACAGCACGCCTCTACCCCTGTAGTGCTTTACTTGCCTCGCAGTTCGGTGATACTAAACCTTTCCAAACTTACCATCTACCTTCTTTTGGGCACATTGTATTTACATTTTTAGAATTTCCCAAATCTTATTGTCTTAACTATAGAGTGTTATTGAACTAGTGGTTTTGTTTGTGCGTCGGCCGTGACATGGCGGACATGGGCTGCGGCCTGCGCTCTGACCACTAACTGAATTACAATTAGTATGTGAAGTGAGGTGGCGCGACTTGTAACACTTTGATGGTCACTTTTTGCGAAAACAGATTACAACGAATTGATATTATATAGATGTTAAATTATTCACAGAGGAAATACTTAGATATTTATAATCTCAGGGCTTATATTTTAGTAGGAATATAATTAGGGTGGACTAATTGTTTTTATTTGTCAGTAAAGTTCTCACGCCTGCACGCTCGCACAGGCCGCTTCCCGCCGTAACGTCACACCCGCCATTTTGAATGTTAAAAGTTCGCCGGACATTAGTGTATTGTTGACCGACCAAATTTCATTGGAATCTTATTGTGGAATACAAATGCAAAACGTTAGTGGTCATTACCGCGGCCGCAATTGTTGCAATTGTTGCAATTTTTTACTTGTGCGGGTTAATTTTTTGCATCTTTTTCAGAGTAATGTTTATCTGTGAAACAAAAGGTAACAAAGGCAGCGCACCACCTACCGTGGTGGTGATGCGGGGACCAGGACCAGTCGTGGTGGTGCTCCGACTGCTTGCCCTTCATGGCCGTGAAGAATGACGCCACCTGTCGAACAAACACTGCAATCTTTTAAAAGACTTAACTTTTACATATGTTTATTACTTGTATAATATCGGCGTCAAATAAATGCTTACGTCGATCTCTTGTAATACTGAGAGTGCAATGATTATCTTGTTACTTGTGAACAGAAATGGACTGTTTGTAACTAACCTAATTAAACAATTTCCATTTTTTCTCCTTATCCAAGTGCGGTCGGCCCTATTTTAATAGATATGCGTACAGCAAATTGAAATGCGTGTAGTGTTATCTATACTGAAAAATAACCAAAAAGGCGACTAAACAGGGCCGAGCCCCGCACCGGAGCCTCGCACTGTTTCAATTAAATTCAACGCATACAAGTTGGCGTGAAAATGTTTTTTTTTATTGTATCAATTTACTTTCAATAAGTAGCCGCTACGTGAGTGCTTTAGGTTGCCAGGACAAAAAAACCAATTTCGTTGAGCTTGTGGGTCAGTTATTTGAAGCTGGGCATAGCAACACTCGTTTTGTTTTTATCTAAACTTACTCGCAGTATGGTAACGATCATTGAACGCTCACAATTTTGCACTAAACTACAACATCTCAATAGAGGTGTGATGACTATATTATTTATTGTATGAATTCTTTACGCTGGAAGTATTTATGCCTCAAGTTTTATTTTATAAAATGCTTCAGTCCCGTGATTCGGTTTCGTTCTAAATACTAGCTCTTCAACTCTTATAATCATCACTTTCGCGATCGATAAACTGTGTGCTGGAAATCAACTTCCAATTCGTAGACACAAGAATGTTTTTATCAATAATAATTTTCATAAATAATTCTGATGGCAAGAAACTCGAGTTTGTTTTTTAAAGATATAGCTTGAAATAGACTACATATTTCAGATTGTCTTAAAATAATTAAATATTATTTGTGTGAATTTATGACGATAACAGATATTATTGTAAGTATCATGGTACGCGGCTTTTTGCTATAATAAATCATTTTTAAAAAGTCGCGACGAGGCAATTTGCCGCCCAAAGCGTGAAGGGTCGCTAAATACGTTTACGTTCAGCTCACGGTTTTTGTGGCAAAACCTTTAATTTTTTCTGTTTGAATTGTAAACTCACGGTGTTGTTGAAAATTTACCATCAATAAAAATAACGGGATATCTTAATGTTATAAATATCTTTCGGTTTTTTTATTTATTTAAGTAGTGAAGTTGTTGTTTGTTCATTCTAATATTGTGTAGTGTTTAATCTGCTGTAAGAAATATTAATCGCTTAAAAGTTTAAACCTGACAACAACAAATAATAAGTAGTAACATATAAATACAATACATAGGTACAAGCTTAGTATTAAAATATTTTGTAAACACATTATTGTAGTCGGCACACACACACACACACATATATATATATATATACACTAGCTGTCACCCGCGACTCCGTCCGCGCGGGATTAAAATTAATTATAAAAACATTGTCCAGCGGACAAAATTGTGAATCTAAACCATTCCCAGATCCCCTTGAACACACACAAAAAATTTCATCAAAATCGGTCCAGTCGTTTGAGAGAAGTTCAGTGACATACACACTCACAGAAGAATTATATATATATATAAAGATATGTACATGTTATCGTAGTTATAGTTTTGTTTAGGAAACATTGTGTTAGTGTGAGCGAGAGAGTAAGTCTGTTGGACCTTAGCGGAGCTGACGGCGATCTTGAAGACGAGCAGCAAGAGGCCGAGGGCAAGCGACTTCGCGGCCAGCAGTGACGTCACCAGCATCCAGGTGGAGGCCGCGCCCACGTGGAACACCAGCGGCATCATGCCCGCCGCTGCCTTCTTCAGCCCGCGGCCCTCCTCCGCACCAGCACCTACAGCACACAGCATATAAGCACTCCACGGAGGGAATTCTTACAGTAGAACTCCACTGCCACCGATGTCGTCACACTGGCATTGGTACAATTTGTCACTCCTTTCATTGTCTCCGACAAAATAGCAACTACAATAGGAATACTTTCAGGATACCTGAAGTGATTTTGATGAAATTTGGAACAGGAATACATAGATTTATTTTAATTCCGCGCGGACGAAGTCGCGGCAAAAGTAAAATATACAATGACTATGGATGTATATTTATATTACTCATCATGTGTACAGAGTGTGCAAGGTAATATGCTCACCGTGTCCGGTGCCGGGACGCTGCAGTTTGGGCTTGATGTGGTTGTAGTGCAGCAGGCGGCCCAGTGCGCTGGACCCCAGCTGCCGGTCGTTAATGCTCTCTAGCCACTGCGCCGCACTGAACACGAACTTCTCGTACTTCGATTCCATATTATCTTCTACAGATGTGATAAAATTGCGTTCCTCATTGTTGTCACCATCTCGAGCAGTACTGATGCCGCAGCAGATGAGCAAGGCGAGCGTATAAACGTATGCGCGCATCCCGTCCTTAGATGTGAGAGTGCGTCTCAAGGCGGTCGTCAACAGTCACTGATGTGTGCGGAGTGCGAAGGCGGCGCGGCTCGCGGCGGCTGATGGCGGCTGACGGCGGCTGATGGCGGCTAACGACTGTTCAAGATGTCTGTATGTGCACATAGAACCGTTCGCCGAAACCAAAGCGAACAATAAAATTGTGTTACGATTCAATTATTCTTAGACATATAACTCATGTGTTGTAAATACATTTTAATTTTAATATTGTTATAATACGTAAGGTAAGAGTGCTGCAAAGACGCAGCGAATCTATCTAAATTCTTAAATAAATTTTGCATAATACAGTCATGACAATTTATGTTTTTTTTTAAGTATTAAAGGCGTTCTGTTCTGTATTTAGCTCTTCCAACTAATTATTGTTATTTGAAATCGCTAGTTCTAAAATAATTCAGCTAACAAAGTTCTTAATTATAGTCTAGTACGAATAAATCGTTTGATTTGATTCACATTCGTGTATGTGCGACGCGACGTTCATGTTCAGATTAGAATAGATGAAAACAATTGCATCTTTTAATATTTTCGTTTACAAGAAACATGAAGAAAACGCAAAAAGACTATTGAAGCCTATTTTATCAGGTTAATCGTATTTTAGAAGGCGCGGTGAGCCGGCAGCCGGCAGTGACCACTCACCAGTGAGCGTACGGACTTCGAAAACTAATTCCCCCTCATTATCTATTTTGCCGTTTGAACTAGATATTTATATTAAGACTAAAGTTTTTTTTTTACTTAAGCCATAATCGAGACGAGCAGATATTAATCGCAAATATACATGACACGCATGTACCTAATGCTGCTTATTATTATGCTAACAATTAAAATCAATAATCCAGTCTTCAAATAAATCCGAAAACTGATTTATATTGATTAAAAATTCCGAGGATACAGGAACTGAAATGGAATTTGTAATTCGAGCGAAATATACTGCCATTAAACAAAACATTAAAAGATAGTTTTTTTAGTCAAGCAGATTAGAAGATGCATTTAGAAAATCACTATAGTTTGTTGTATTATAAGCTAGGAGAAGCGAAATAACAAAAGTATTCGAATACTTTGCCATAAAACACGTTAAAGAACGCGTCTTAAATTCCAGGCACACGTGTATGTACAGTATCCAGCTTAGGTTTCGGTCTACTACTACTATTGTTTTAATATTCTTAGCTAACTTTATAAAGCTCTATATTAAATGTTGAAAATGTTTGTTGACCCCGTTTTTTGCAATACATTTGATAGTATGGTATCGATGTGCGAGGCGAGGCGAGGCGAGGCGAGGCGAGGCGAGGCGAGGCGACGATGATGGATAATCTTCTTTATATGTATTTGTATTCCGTTATAATTATATATACTTTTTCTCTCTCACTAGTTTTTTTTTACATGAAAGTTACATGTCAAATATAAATCATCTGCGTGTACTAACACGCAAACTGTAAATGTACACTTGAATTTTACTAGTTTCACACGAGGACAGAATCGTAAGACTGTACGTTACTACTATTATTTGAAAGTTCGCCTCGAGGTTGAACAGTAGTGTTCCGACAGTAAGTGTGAAACTAATAGCCCATTCTCCATTTCTGTTTATCCTTTTGTGAGGTTTTATAAGCGATCACTCGGTAAAAATAAATAAAGGGGAAAATTTCATCGTGTAAGCAGATTCCTTGAGGTCGCCGTGTCTCACACGAAATGATACAGCAACATACATCACAGCAGTTCACCTTCCGACTGCGACATTCCTTCATTTTACACCAAGATTCGAGTCGTAATTGAAACAAAGCTTTATAAAACAGTATCAACATTTTTATTTAGTGAGCTATGAGGAGGAGGGGGAGGAGGAAGAGTACGAGACAGGGGAGGAGGAGATGCAGCGGGCGCGCGGCGGGCGGGGCGAGGGGCGGCGCGGCGGCGGCGGCGGCGGCGCGCGGAGTGAACAGCGCCACGTCCGGCCTGCTCGCCTTCCACCCGATGAGTGGCGCGTCGCGGTTCTGCGCGCGCAGCCACAGCTCCAGCGGACGGAAGTACCTGCGACACACGCGACACTCTGACTGCCGACTGCCGACTGCCGACTGCTGCTGCCACCTCCCATTGAGGAATTACTTATGATTGTGCGCGCATCTCTCTGTGTGAAGATTTTCAATGAGATTTGTAGAAAAACAAGTTGCACTTCTATAAGGGCTAATAAGGCCTCGATAACGATCGAGGAGGCGGTGGTGGTCCGGAGGGCCGGTAGCGGGAGCGTAAGTGTAAAGTACTGACTTGACGAGGGCCTCCGGCGAGATCTTGTCGGTCCTGCCGCGGGTGAGCGCGCGCAGCAGCTCGCCGGCGGGCTTCGCGGCCCCCGCCTGCATCACCTCACTAAATTACATCGCTTATTAATACTGGACAAGAAAATCGGTCTTCTTAAATCTATCACCAAAGTCCAAAGCGAGGTAAGCGTACCCGAGGAGGCGGCCGGCCTCGCGGCTGCGGTGCAGGTCGCAGAGGTGCAGGTGTTCGGCATGTCCGGCCGCCGCGCACAGCTGCTCGAACACCTGGAACTCCAGCACCGTCGCCAGGAAGAACTTCAGGTACTCCTGCACAACGACGCGCCGCATGTAAACATTGAGGCCCGCTCTCCCTCACCGAGCGACCTATCCACCGATCAAAGCGTCACACTGCGGGGAGGCGGTCACTGAAACATGGGGAAATAGTATGCGGACCTGGTCGGAGATGATGTGGTATTTGGCGCCGGGGTCGAAGTCCTCCTCGGTGCGCTTCAGCGGCGGGATGACGCCCTGCAACCACATACAGACTCAATGCCGGGTCCGCGACGACAAAAATCATTCGGAAACTGCGGAATTAAGTGAAGTTGTTGTTGCGCAGTACCTGGTACCTGAGCTTCATCTGCCACCAGCGCGCGTTCATGTTCTCCACGCCCTCCTCGAACACCGACCAGCGCCACTGCGCATCGTACAAACAATTCATTATATATTATCGGCCGGTTCTGTCCAGATCCTTATTAACTATTGTAAAACAAACATTATAAGCTAAGCAAAAGTAAATCAGCATAATGAAACGCTGTCGCTGTAAAACATCAAATTAACTTATGTTTATATCTAGTTCCGTTATGAGATGAGTAGTATGACTAGTGCGCGCTCCGTGCTCAGGGAAACGTGCGCACAACGCATCGAGATGGCAGCAAGGCCAAGGAAGGGGTCACCTGGTCCACCATGAAGGCGAAGGGCAGGTAGGCGACCTTCTCCAGCGCCATGGTCATCAGGAAGTTCATGCCCACCTCGTACGGGTCGTGGCTCCTGCGGATGTCGACCCACATTACACGTTAAAAGTTTCCTACACACGACGTGTGCTACGCTAGTCTCTCCTTTCAATTGCCATCACTTCCTTCCCATCTTTATTCGGAAAATTAATTTACTACTGCAGCAATCGCTTACTGTCGCTCGGTTTCCTAAACCTCTGCTCGACTACCCTGTCTTTTAAAATTGAAGAAATCGTCAACGTTAACATGATCGTCGGATTTGGGTGACATTTGTATAGATAAAGATGAGGCGGAGTGATGCGGCAGTGAAAGTGGAAGTTGAAGTGGCTGTTCTGTCACTGACTTGTTGTTGTAGAGTCCGAGGCGGTAGAGGTGCGGCATGTTGTACACGGACAGCGTCGCCGCGTTGGCGAGCGCCTCGTGGAACGCTGCGCACACAATCACAATCTATGTACGACGTCACGTATGAGATAGCGTGGGGTAGTGCGAGGTGGTGTGAGGTCGTATGAGGTGCTGTGAGGTGGGACGGTGTGAGGTGGTGTGAGGTGGTGTGGGTTACCGGGGTTGGCGCCGTCGCGGAAGAGCTGCGGCTGATCCGCGTATTGCAGGTAGTACTGGATGTGCGCCAGCTCGTGGTGTGTCGACACCAGGTCCTGCGTCGTCACCTCCGTGCACTGCTTGATCCTGCGACACACATGCACACATCTCTCACACACACAGACACGTCGGTCGTGAGGCGCCTGCGGAAACTTGTCATGCAATACTACGGAACATGTCCGCGCTCGGCCAAATTTTTCACGCAAATACGCCTATTGTTTGTGACCATGTCTTCTTTTAAATCATTTGTCAGATGTATATATATACTGTTATATGCAATCTTAATCAACATCAAATATCTTATTCCGGCAGAGATCGAGTCAGACAAGGCAGGGAGAGTTGGGGTTGTTGCGATGTAATGTGTCGAGCTGGTGACCTGTAGTCGATGCGGTTGCAGAAGTCCCAGGCGCTGGCGGAGCACTGAGCGGGGCGCCGCGGCCGCGTCAGCACCGAGCTGCGCCAGAACTCCGGCGGCAATGGCTTGAGACCCATCTTCGTGAAGAACTCCTCGCCCACCTGGAACATCCTGCGCCCGACACGTCTTAATACGACCACCCACCTTGCGGCTTTATCTACATACCGATAGATCTAGCTCGTAGCATAGCTTCGACTCATCGAGTTCTAAAGACATTTAATAGATTTAAAAATAAACAAGACTCCATGTATTATTGAAAAATACGAGAAAAAAATGGGAAAAGTAGCGGCAGGTACCTGAGCGGCGTGTACCCCTGGCGCAGCAACTCCGAGGTGACATCCAGCGCGGGCGAGGTCGGGAACGGCATCACCAGGTCCATGATTGACTTCCAGTTCTGCGCCCACATGTTGCCTGCGCACGCAACGTGACTCGTCACCTCTCCCCTCTCACCTCTGTGTACAGAGCACTAGAGGGGAGGAGGCGGGGGAGGGGAGGGACGTACCGAGCAGGTGCGCGGGCAGGGGCCCGTCGGGGCGCAGCGTGTGGTTGCCGTAGCGCTGCAGCAGGCGGCGGCGCACGTAGGTCAGCAGCTGCTTGTACAGCGGCGCCACCTGATTGTACACCTCCTCCACGTTCTCCCGCAGCGAGGGCTCCTCGTACGCCGCGCGCATCTGCTCGCCCGCGTTCCTGAAACCTGACCACCCCGCCATACATACCCCGCCATACGTACCCCGGCATACGTACCCCGCCATACGTATCCCGTCATATGTACCCCGGCATATGTACTCCGCCATACGTACCCCGTCATATGTACCCCGGCATACGTACCCCGCCATACCTACCCCGCCATACACATTCCGCTAACCCGAACAGGTGTTTCCTAACCTCGTCTCCTGTCCGCCATAACGGATCGCGATCTCTATTTTTTACTATGATTTCTTTTACCTAAACCAATTCTTATTTGAAACTGAACACACATTTTAAAGTATCAAAGAGTTACCGGCGAGAGCGGCGGCCTCGTTAGCGAGCTGCACATATCTTATGAACTTGTCCCTCAGCTTGGGTCCGGTCTGGTCCCGAAAGCTCTTCCACACGTAGAGGAGTTCGCTCTCTATCCTGGAGTGGGCGAGGATCCTCGAGATCTCGGGGTCCAGCTGCATGTCGCAATAGTTGGGGAACTCGGGGTCGTCCCGGTACGGCTGGTAGTGCTGGTACGGGTGGTTGTTGAGCTGGTAATGCGGATGGGTCAGCGGAAAGGGTTCGGGCGGCGCGGTCGCCGGGCCACCCGTTTTTGGGACGTGAGGGTCGTATGGCTTCTGCCCGAAGGGGCAAATTTTCGCAGAGTTGTAGATCTCTTTCATCTCTGTTATCAGTTTTTGAAGCTGAAACGAAATCGTAAATTCATATCGGACTCGCACACAGTGTACTCGGCTTGAACAGTGCCGTATTACCGTACCTCATTAAATTTGTCCTCAGAGAGCGAGGCGCGGCTGGCCTGCACGATCTTGCGCAGCTGGCGGCGCGCCTGCGGGTCGGCCAGGCGCGTCACGTCGAATGCGGCCGCCTTGCGCCACGACAGCCGCTCGAACTTGGAGCTCAGCGCCAGCTCCTCGTTCATCCGTCGTCGGTTTTGTTCCGTTATGTTGGTCACGAACTTCCACTGCGCCGTCGTCACTCTGCGCGAAACAGATTGCATATTTAAATCAAAGCGAATTAATCACTAAAGTATAGTTATGTGAATAATAAAATAGTCAGCTGACCTGTAGCACATGCCGGACGCCTCCCTGTCGTACTCGCGCAGAAACTGCATCGCTTCTGCCACGTTCGTGTTGCTGCCCTGCAGCGGCCCAGTTTTTATGACATTCTTATTATATTAAAGCAGTGCAGTTATTAAACATTTCCTTATAAATCAATTACACATCAAGATATTTATATCACCATGACATGTGCACCCGAAGTCTTTAGTAAATAAACAGAGTGCAAAACGATACGAAGCGACCTCATCGCTGCCACTCTGGTCACACCCCGTGTACATGAGCGTATAATACTATTGCAATTTTTTTTAAGCATAAAGTAATTAACACAGAACTGAACTGCTTTAGCATCTATGGCATTATGTTAGAAGGAACATGACACGATATAGTCGGCATTAACACATTCACATTTTGTAGTTATTGAATTTTTTTGCTCGTCTCCTCGATTCAGCACTCTAGCTTGTTTAATTCAGCATCTTAATATTAATATGGGTAACAGCGCAAAAGACGTCCTATTCTGGATAAATAATAACGGGTTCGACGCAAGGACGTTCAGCTGCGGATACATAATGGTAGAAGAATCAGGCACGACTTGTATTACAGTAGATGTTCGTCGCTGTGAAGGTCGTCATCTCTCACAACAATACCCTCATTAGACCACACGGTTTGTAATTCATTTAATCTTGATGACATCCGGTGGCTTGTGTCTTGTCTTGTCTTTTCCCCAAGGATACGTTATGTAACGATCTATTTAAGTTTTTACACATGAACAACGATAGATACATTCAACAATAGTCTGAAGTATAGTAAGTGAGATATAGGCGGATGCGGAGCTGATGCTGACACAATTTCATATTATAATATGAAGTATTATGATATTTTACAATTCGTTAGATTAATAAAATCTAATACTAAATAAAATAGGTAAATGTATAAAATTTAAAAGGAAAGCGGAGATAGACTAGTAGACAGCGCAGACAATGAAAAAGTTGCCTGTTCTATTGTACTTTATTCTTAAGATTAAGTTATTATTAAAAGAAAAATATGCGTGATGGATACTCACCACCCTGACGTAGTGGTCGGTGGAGGCGGCGGAGGCGGGGGAGGCATACCGTGTGCAGAAAGCAATAACTACCAGATGCCACAGCGCACTACTCTTGCCATTGTACATTTTTAAATAACAAATTGTCACGTTAGTCTTCGTTCAGGACACATTTATGAATTTAGGAAACTTTTATATCATCACGAACTAGCGAGTTTTAAAAAAAAATGTTTTAAAGGTAGTTCTTTATTCTCTTTTTTAAAAATTTGTCACGTTATGGCGGGAATTTCGTTTTTTTATTTAATATTTTAAAAAGTGTGTCAGGCCAGGCTCGGGAAACTGTCTCGTCGGCTTTCTTGTCGTCGACTGGAACAATATTTCCGTCGTCTTTGTTTCGTGCATGCTTTGGTGAGCACCGGCGCCCCACATAGCGCGGCACGCGCGCCCTCCTCCTCTTATGATACGCACATTTATTATACATTACAATACGTTTCTTTTATAAATAATTTGATACTTGAGACAACTAGACTAGTGACTGCGCAAACTATTCTTATACTTCCGATACATGAAGAGATATAGCTAATGCCAATGTCATAATGTTAAAGAGTACGAACTACATAGTATATGATCGTGAGGTCTTATTTGCCATTTGACTTTTGCCAAAATCAATATATTTATGAAAGCCTAAACTTGTATAATTTTGGAGGAAACGTCGGATTCCAGGGTTAATTACAAACAGAGCCGAACTTTTTTCTAAGCTAAGCGCCTACCAAAGATTTACGTCAATGAGGGCCATTTATCGCAACTTGTCCGACATCAGTGACTAACATCGTTGCAGTAATTACTTAGATAAACATTATTTTAGTTACTGCAATAAGATAGCAAAGTAAGGAGTCTGAACGGACAATGCGGAGTCAGGAGGCGAGACCTCTCCTCTCTCTTCTCCGCTTACCTATTGTGCCAATCCGGCGCCGGCGCAGCGCACTGTTACATTTGACCTAATTTTAAAACCTACTTGTGTAGGAAAATTGCTATTTTATATCATATGTAAAAAGATGAAGTAAAAAAAACATGGTTTATTCATTTTTGTTTTGTTTCGCTGTGAAGTTGTAGAACCTGAATATAATAACAAGTAATCATTCTTATTTGTTACTAATATTATAAATGCAAATGTTTAGCTGGATGGATGTTTGATAGAAGGTATCTCCAGAATGGCTCAACGGATCTTAATGAAATTTGGCATAGATGTAGAACGTAGTCTGGAAGAACGAATGGGCTTATTATTATTTTTTTATATTTCCGCGCGGAGGCAGTCGCAGGCAACAATGCTTACACAAAAAATATGTCAGAAATAACTGGTCGTTACCAACAACAACAAAGTAATTTAACGCACATTGATTTAAAAACGTTCAGAATGGTTGCGACCACAACGACCTGCATTAGAACAAACAATGAACAGATTCAAATACGACGTCCTTCTATAACATTAAGAGAAACATACCTAAAAAAAGACTAGCTCTTGGGCTATAGATGTCTCTTTACTCTATCTAGTTCTGGCTGAAAACTATATACCTAGGTGAGCTATATCAAGCCTAGTATGCAGTTTTAAAATTTCCGGCTATAAAATTATTTCAAATATTTGTTTGTTTGTTTACATACCATTTTTACACTTTTTTGACATAGGAAATGTGACAAGTCTTGTCACATGTCATCATGGAGTGGTTGACGGATCGATTAGTTTTTTTGAATCGATATCGTGAATCCTATATATTTATACAGTCAGCTGCATAAATAAGTAAACGTTCAGTTCAGGCGTTCCGTTTTAAAAATAAGTCAACAAGTATTCGTCAATAACATGATCGGTCGGAAGCATACGAATGGATACGTGCATGCGTATTTTTTAAACCGTAGACTTATAGAGGTGTTTACTTTTGTAAATGTATATTTATTTATGCAGCTGACTGTACAGTATGAAGTCATGTATTCCGACAATGGAAACCCACGGTAATATTGAAATTTTATGAATCTAGACATTTTTATTATTGTTAGAAAGTATAATAATACAATCTTGGACTCCTAAGATACGTTTTGTTTACGATTTTTTTCGATATGTTGAACAATGGTGGGCAGAGATTATAATTACCATTGCATATAAGCCACCTAAAGTGAAATAAGAAATATATAAAAGCAACCATCATATGTACAAAAATATATTTTATTATGTAAGAAAATTGTATTGCTCACAAAACATCGTGAACTTATTCAAATATAATTTTATATACAGGCCTTAATCAATTATTTAAAAGTAAACAATAATACATTCAATTTTCAAATAATTAATTTAAAATTAACTGACAATTAAATTATAACTGACAAAAATATATAATACATGAAATTGTATTTAATGAAGTCTTATTTAACTATATATTGCTATAACTATTACTTACACTTACATATCTCAACTATTTCATTTTACACAACACAAAGAGTATCATCTCCTTTAGCATTCACCATTATAACAATTCACAGAATGTTACATTCTAAAATATCTTGCCTCGGTCTTTATAAATGTATTTTACTTAAAAAAAAATGTTAAATTGTATAATTCAAGTCCTTCACTTGACCTCTATTTGTATCTTTGCGTTGATTTAATGTATATTGAAATCGTACAAATTATACGGGCTTATTTTTAGGACTTAATTGAGAAAGATGATCTAGATCCTCTAAGGTATGACAACATGTGTCCAGTGCCGAGTGGAGGAATGTTGGAGGTAGCTTGTAATCAATTAGTCTTGTATTCTGCACATTGTATACGAAATAATTGAATTGTAACTTCATAAATAGATTTACGTCTTGGCATCATCAGTATCCTTGCTTTCTTCCACAGCTACGTTCCCGATACTGATATACTTTTTCCATATTGATGATGTGTCAATGTTATGCCTACGTTTCATGTGCTTCTTATAGTTAGAACCATTTGTGAAGTCTCTCTGACATTGAACACAATTGTACGGCTTGGCACCAGTGTGTTGCCTCAGGTGTAAGTTGAGACGGGTTTTGAATCTAAAAGTTTTATCACAATATTGACATTTGTATGGCATTAGGTCTGTATGGATTATGGAATGTGATTTCAGATGTCTCTTCACTCTAAAGCTCTTCCCGCACTGTTCACAAACAAATGGTTTTGTTCCCGAATGCAATGTAATGTGGGACTGAAGGTTTCCTTTTGCTTTAAATGCCATCGGACAAAATTCACACTTGTAAGGTTTGACGTTTTCGTGCGTCAGTATGTGGGTGCTCAAAGTACCCTTCATGAAGAACATTTTGCCGCAGATGTGGCAGGAGAAGTCTCTGCTGCGATCCGTGTGCACCAGTTTGTGCTGATTCAAATTGGTCCGCTTTTTGAATTCTTTGTGGCAATAGTTGCACTTCAACTCTTGCTCCTCCGCATTGTCAACTGCTTTCCTTAAAATTTTCTTAATGCTTTTATTATATTTTGCCAAGTGGTCATGCAACTGCTCCACTGTGTCAAACACTGTGCCACATTTTCTACAAGAAGTTAAGTTTACACCGCCATGCTCAACATGTTTATGTCTTTTAATAAATTTTGTCATTGTAAACTTTTGGTCACAGAATTCGCAGCAATAATTCAACATTGGCTTGTGCAGTCGTACATGTTTTACAAATGATTTGTAATTAGAAACAACTTTACCACAGCTCATACATTTAAAAACGCAACAACTATTATGTATATGTTGGGAATGTAACCTTAACAATGAGATGTTTTTGCACTGGGCGTCACAGTGTCCACAGCGGCACGCCTCCTCCTCCCATGTCACATCCAGCTTGTCTATGTCAACAGGTTCTATATATAAAGTTTTGTCTTTGTCCTCGTTATGTTCAGACACTTTCTTCTTATTTCGTTTCTTTTTGACTGTGACATCAGAGGGCTGCTCACTGTCGGTGCTACTGCTGAACCCATTATCTTCAATCAGAAAATCCTGGTCATTTTCAGGGCACTGTTCCGTTTTTAAATTCTCTAGACCGTCAATAAATTTATTTGTAGTGATCACAGTCATAATGTCTTCATCTTTTATATCAACTTTAACATCCTGAAAATCATCCCAGTTCATATCGACAGGGTTGGCCACATCGGATGACTGCTTTCCTGATTTAACTTTATGTTCATTGTTCGTAGAAAATAATTGATTCAATTTTTCCTGCGCCTCTCGGACATTCTTGAGAAAAATCCAAGTCCGTTCTAATTGATCAAAACAAGAATAGCATATACTTTTAGGAAGTTTATTTGATGGAGTAACGTCGATATTTATCCACAGCATCTTCTTGGCAATCTTTGAATTAAAAGCTGCTTCTTCATCAGCATATATTAAATGTTCAGTTGGTTCGGCGCACAACCGACAGTATTTATCAACTTTGTTCATTTTACTATATGAAGTTTATTTCTTTACGCTTTTCTTCGCATACTTTACTAATCAAAACTCTAAAAGATTGTATTGAGATATCAAAATATCAATTTGTAAATCAACAACATACAAAACCATATCTTAATTTGACATTTGAAAATAAAAATAAGTCAAAATTAGGGATGCACGATCCAATCCAATACTTTGGTGGTCGATACCATCTGTTCGATTTTTTTATCGATACGTCAGTTTACCCACCAGTGAATCGATACACGACCACGGTGGATCTGATCGATTACTATTAGTATTCAATTCGTATAAAACTTATAGAGTTAAACAAACTATAACTTAAAATATTTATGTGAACAGACTCGTACTGCTTTCTTCGGAAGACAAAGGATTATCAAAGGGGGGTTTACCAAACGAAAAGATTTCTTTTATTTTAAGTGCGTGCGTTCGATATTATGACAACCGTCTATTAAGTACAACATTAATCGTCATTCAAAATTAATTCGATACTTCACAGGCGGCAGTTGTCAAACTAAAATAGACCACAACGATAATATTGTTAGTGAGTCAGTATTTAGATGCAGTGGCAAAACGGAAATCATGCGGCAACACCAGTAAGTCGAAATAAATGGGTAAGATATACTCTATGGACAGAGAGGACTTTACTCTTTGAGCAATGATGGCAGATTTGGCGGAACATAATAATAGATATTGTTAAAAAACGATCCATATAAATCGATTCTTAGGGCTCCATCGTAATAATTAAATAACATATTATATCTATGATTACGATTTAAAGTATCGATACAATACAACTGTATCTGGATCGCTTATTTGCCTTAATTAAAGGCACAATATTTTAAATCTTATTTGCAGTTGAGGTTTAAACTTTAGTATATCTATATTTCTCCTAAGTCCTAAGACTGAAAACATGTAAGTTTTAAAAATAATTTATTACGCGAATGAAAATAAAATATTAATGTTTAGAATTCCAGAATAAAAATATAACTTGAGACACTTTGTATTTTGTTGTTTATTTCATTGATTAACAAAAAATGTTTCTAGCATACAAAGTAATTATATTTTATTTGTTTTCAGGTTAAATGTAACAGAAGTGAATAAACGTGACAATTGGCTAGAGTTAAAAGTTGAAATAGAGAACAATGCAAAGAGTACTTCTACAAAGACTGAACATGATATAAATTCATCATTAAAAATTTGTTTAAAAGTGTTACAGACAAAGACGAGAGACATACTAAAACAAACACAACAATATCCATATCAAAATGTATTTGCTCCACAAAAACAAGTTGAATTTTACGAGGCAAACATTCTACTACTATTTAAATTTGTGAAAACTAACACTAATGATGAAACAATGTATTCAATTATTTGCAATAGTATAGGTTTAGGTCTATTGGATAAGGCATTTTGTACTGACAATGATTCTTGGTTCTTGGTCCATGAGACAACATCTACAAAATTGAGCTTCAATATTATTTTCACAACGAGAATAATTAAAAGTGAAAATCCATTTAAAGCATTGTATGAAGATATAGAGCTGATGGACTTCAAACTGGTTGGTGAGGCAGGGTCAGAGGTGAAGGTACATGGGGCAGTGCTGGCCGCTCAGAGCCCCAGCATCATGAAGATGATACAAGAAAAATCTATCAAGGATAATACTATTGAATACAGTGGAGTAAAAGAGAAAACTTTGCAAGACTTTAAATCCTACATTTACTTGTATGTTTTGCCGCAAGAAGACATAGAGCAGTTGTTGCTTTTGGCGTCCAGAGCAACAATGGCTGAGTTAGAGCGCAAGTGCATCGGCCAGATAATGGCCTCTCTGACTGCTACCAATGTGTACCGCATAACTGAATTTGCTCAACAACATAAGATACATGATCTATATTTGAATGTTTTAGAATATATTCAAAAGGGTAAAATTAAAGTAATTGACATTAGAAATAGTTTAAAGCTTTCTAATGTTTAATGAATGCTGTGTGTTAAGTTTTATAAAGAACATCTCTGCACATTGTTCTATATCTATAATAATTATATCATTGAGTAAAGTACTGGTTATTTGAATTATAGATTCCTTTTAAATTTGAGAAACATTTTGAAACTAATCACCTTTTAATTGGAAAACGATGTGAAGAAAAACAAACATTTTAGTATACAATCAAAGCTTATTTAATCTTACAAAATAATTAAGTTTATTTTACATAGTTTAGAGAATGTTTTGTTTACATTTTATGTGCCAGTTGAATTCTCCGTACGAATACATTGCTTAATATCTTCAGTTTTGATTTTGCCACATTCAATTAGTTCTAAAATGTCAAGAAAGGTCTCTGTCATACCATTGTTCAGCGCAAAATATGTCAAGTCACAAAAATTTTCAGCAGCTGCAATTGTAGCCAACTTCTGAGTGCACATCTGACCCAATTCTTTCATATTATACTCAGAAGCAAAGACTATGAGGTCTGTTAAACTTGACAGTGGGGACTCTGGTATATTGTTCAAGTAAATGTAATCTTTTAAATGCTGTAAAGTTGATTGTTTTACATGCGGCAGGGCTAGCTCATAAAGACGAGATGATTCCTCAGCTTTTTTACATATTTTCTTGTTGAAGACTGAACTATATGCAATTAAAATCATAGAGTGCACTTCAACAGTCCCGTCTTTGCCAATAAGTCTTAAATTAGTAGATTTTGAGTCTTTATAGAGCGGAGCAAATGGTCTTATAATTTGATCCATTAAACTCAAGGTGACAGTTATATCAAACAAGGTAGTAAAATTTGATGTGGTGGGTTTAACAAGTAATCTCCATATTTTATCGTGTATATAAAATGTTTTTTTAGTATTCAGTACAAATGACTTTATTGACACATCAGCCATATAGGTCTTTTCACTGCCTTCAATGTTCTCAAAGCTGCAAAATAATGAATATGTGTCGTAGCTACAGTAATTTGTAGACTCAGGTGTAACAATAGAAGGACAACTAGAGGAAAGGCCGGTATCCATCCTCATCTGAAAGTATACTGCATTATTGATGGTGTATTTGCTGGACAGCTTGGTAATACTATCAAGTCCTCTACCACTTTGAATGGTTATCTTTAGGTTTAGAGTGTCCTCAGTACTGATCAACTTGTACACATCCCAACTGTAAATATAGAAGAGAACCAATTAATACTAGTTAATATTATATGAAACATACAGACAAGTCTGTAACAGTAACATTTGTGATTTACAACATTACACTGTAGTATATTATCGTACCTTGTTTCATCCGGTATTATATTTATCAAAAATTGTTTCTTTAAGCCGAATGGCATAGTGTATATTACTATAAATAAATAAAGTAATAAAACTATGAAACTCGTCCAACTGAACAACGAATATGAAGTATTACAAAAATACATAGAACAATTAATGTATTGACGCTAGGAAAAGTGGAATGGGATTAGGATTGGGTATCTCACAATGATAGAGTTCGACAAGGAAGAGAATCTTAAAATCTTGTTGAACTACAAAAACAAAATATAACCAGAAACAACAATGTCATTTTGACAACGTCAAATATTTGACTTATGAGGCAGTGCGCAGTGGCAGCAACTCTTAAATGTTACCATGTTGATTCGTCGATAGTGCGACAAGCTTATCAAATCCGGTAAGGGAGGCGCTGCTTTCGCGTTTGCTTATTCTATTCTTTCTGAAAATATATTAATCCTATACAGACAAATAACGTAATGTGATAACTTCAAACATGTATGGGACTCTCTATCTATGTCGTGAATAGTTATAGTTTACTCATCTAAAATTAATAACTTCATGATCAGCTGATGCGTAAAGCTGATCAGTGAACCGGCGCGCAGCTCAAATTATTTTGTATCTGCATGAGTTATGATTTGTGTTTTGAGCTGAGAACTGCGAGTTACCAGGCTGCTTGAGGCTCTTTATCTGATCCGACTCGGGTATGATGAGTTGCTAACTTAGTTGTTAAGCCGTAGCTTAATGGTTCAAATCTATGTGACCTGCAACCGTATATCTATTGGTTATACTAGCCATCGCTCACGGCTCCTTCCGCGCGGATTTAAGAAAAAACTTAATAAGTAGCCTATTTGTTCTTACAGGCTTACATGTTCTGCACTACATCTATGCCAAATGACATCGAGATCCATGCAGCCATTCTAGAGATACCTCTAGCAAACATCCATCCATCCATCCATCCAAATATTCGCATTTATAATATTCGTAAGATATCTGAGACCTAAAGTAAACTAAAACATATGCAAGATATCATTCGAATACATATGTATAATAAGTCATATACATCCCGCACAATCTTTTCCCACAACAGACAACAATATGCAAAATGGATATTTTGTTTAAGTAGAATAACACACCTATAGATCTAGCAAGCGCCAAGTAATATTTTGTTTGTTACATTCCTCGGCTGGCGGGAGGCGGCGAGGCGGTGTGGAACATTTTAGCAGTTAGCAGTGGCAGCGGGCATTCAGAAAAGTACTCACGTGCAAGCATAACTTTATTGCAGCGCTAATAAATTTCCTAGTATCGGTACAAATTTAAATCTTCCAGATGTTTTTCAAAAGCCAATACGTGAGCTGTTTTCGAAGTATCGGCCGACGCGATTGCACGCTGGGCCGATGGACACCAATCAAATAAATCACGGTACATATGCGGACGCGGCTTCACTTTGTCTGCTAACTATTGCTTAGATGTTATCTTAAATGTCTACATTAGAGTATACGGATGTCATACATGTACCTATGTATTGTACAATGTATGTATGTGTATGTTTAATAAGTACGAGATATCAGAAGTTTGTGTTGTTGCACATCAAAACTAGTGGACATGTCGGCACGCAAAGCACATTACACATGTGATAATTAAATTTTAAATCGGGGATTTTTAAAGTGGTCCAGCTGGATCTACTGGGGATCACGGAGGACCAAGCCGAGCCCATAATGAAGATCAAAGTACAGAAGTTGAAAAAAGTATTAGCTAGGGATTCACAGATTATCCATTGAGAAAAGGGCAGGCTGATGATGCTGGAATACACCGAATCCAATAAAATATTAGTGGCCGTTCTCTCGTGGAAATAGTATTTATCTTATAAAGGTGTAAAATAAAAGCGTCATACTTTTAGTTTTTAACAAAAAGCACGGCTCCTGCCTAATAAAATGGTTTCGACTGTTTTTCAAATCACTTTATTAAACATCGAGCGATGCGGCTAAGGTTAATCGACCCGTCTTCTTCGAATCGGAATGCTCAATTGGCCTCGGATAATGATAATAAATTTCAAATGTGTCCAGATTTGTGCGGCGCAAAGACATTACTTAAATTGTCTTCGTTAGTGCTACGAAAAATATCTGAGAATTTTTATTTGCTATAGAAGCGAACATAATACCAAAATATGTAACACTTTTATAGACACCAGACTGCGACACCTGAACATACATACAATATGTTAAAGAAGACTCTGCTATCGCAATCATTACCCGCATTTATCTATTCGACCACATTCACGTCCAGTGATGATTTAATGTCAAGATAGAAAGCTAAAGTTGAACACTATCAATTCATTCATTTTATGCGACTAACTTACTCATCGGATTATTTTGTTCTCCTTTTTTTGATTTCCTGAGATTGAGAAGTGCGCTCGATTCCCGAAACGACACTCCTATTATAAATATGCAGCGGTTATTTTGTGTCGTAAAGGGCAACTGCCAAGCGAGCTGAAGGCATTTATAGTTAAATCTATTTATTACTACAAAGTGCGATAAATGCATATTTAGATTCATGCGGAATAGCAATCGGCGGACACATCTGGCATACGAAAGGCATGAGAGTTGTGCCAACGACCTCCGTAAACACTACTTTTACATAACTTTAATAATTTTGGAGCTCGCCTTTGACAGCTGCGCTGCGCCGCCGCACATACTTTACCTATAGCTCTATTCGGTGTTCTCTGGCCGATGTTCACTTTTTACTCAGGTCAAGGTTTAATGTGACCGTTTTAAGTTTGACTAGATTTTAGTTTTGCTGCAACACAGTATGTTTGCGCTATCGGTAGTTCAACACGAACGCTTTCACATACAGGGTGAATTTCCCTGAAACGATTGAAAGAATTTCTTATGTTTCTCAGAAAAAACATTCATTTATTTTCAATTCATGGGCAAAGGCCCACAAAGAGAGACTGACCTACGATTAGGGCTTACGACAATACCGTTGTGGTGCAGCTGTCATTGATGACACAGTTAGCCGAGGAGAGACGTGACTGAGTGATCAGTGGCCGATCATCATAAATTCCCGTAGGTATAGCCGCCGAGGTTGTTGACCCCGTGCGAATCCCAGACATCCTCCATATAATACCTTCAAACTATTTGGGCGCGTGCTCTGACTGCTGATACCATTACAAATATTTCAAATGAGCTTATTAAAAATTCCACAAGTTCCATTGGGACGGGTGCGGGGTGACGTGTGCGGGGTGCGGGGTGCGGGTTAACGAGCCATTGACTTCGATGTTTTCGTGTAGATTTGGTTTGCGTCATTCCAGTCACAAATAAATCCTCTGTGGTCAAAATTTATATGTAAAATTGACATATTTGGAAAATATTTCAATCACTTGCGAAATAATTTCTATCCAGTCAAAGCACTCGCTGAAATAATACAACACGATGCAGTTGCAAAGTTTTAGGCCGATTCTATTCCACACAAATAAAATATACCTACTCTAATGCTAGATTATCACGGCTAGAGAAAGAGCGATCTGTTTTTGATAATTGTCTCGTAGTCATGTCTGGGGGACTGGATGTAGTCAAACGTAGCGGTGCCGCGTCTCTGCGTCTCTCATACGATCTGCTCCAATGATAACCTCTGATTGTAGCCATGATGCCTTTACCTTTATTGTCGTGTCGTCGTGTCGTCGCGTCGTCGTGTCGGGGTTTAGGTTTCAATATTTATTAAAAAAGTTCATTCTCTAAAGATTTCTCTTAAAGCTTGTGCGTTGACTATGATTATAACATTATAAAAGATTTTGAAGTAATAATTAATGTCTTGGTATTTTAATTTAATCTCCTTTAGTTTCAAACGAAATTAAATTATTTGAAGAATAACCAGTTTTAATTTTGTTAAACTTAGCGTTTATTTATATAAAAACATATGATCACATTATCTTTGAAAAATCCAAACATATTTTTGTTCTGAGATATCGACAGTGGAGTCTGACGATTACATCTAACTTACATTATTGAGGTTAGAAATATTATAATTAATAAAGATGTTTTTGATGAATTATGAAAACTATAAACAATATAAATAGCATTTCTTATTATTCGATTAGACTTGTTGCGAAATATATACGGGCGCCTCGAAATTGTTATTATCGGCGAGTCATAAAACCGCACAATAAATCGGCAGGGCATCAAAAGTTGATATATTTAAGAATTCCGCTCATGTTTGTGTCTTGTGGACAACGGCGCTACAGTTAGCGACCTTACTACTGTTACTGAGATTATCCGGCTTTTTGGGATTTATTGGTGGTTATAAAATTTGGCTCGAACGAGGATAAATGTATGTATGACGCATAAAACATAAACGGCTTTTTTTTTCTTTTTAGTATAATAGTTGAATCACAATGAGTTATAAAAGAAAATCTACTTATTTTTGAATGAAATGTGTGATTTTTCAAAGGGGTTTTTTTTTAACTTGCTCTGTTTATTCAAATCTAATACTAAAATTAAAAATGACATATTTCTTGTTTATAGACTATATGTAAAATATGTGATATGTAGAATAACCATAAAAACTGTTTTCATGTCAATTAGTTACTCAAATAATAACTGTAACTGAATTAAAAAAGTAAAGGACAAGTATAATATAAAGTAATAAATAAAATTCAAGAAAATAATTTAGAACACAAGTGTTGTTAAACTGTCTACAGTTATAACAGTAATTTGAGGCGTGTTTGATATGGATTTTATGTCTTTATCGCGATCTGAAGTCCATCAAGATAAATACGAGTAACTGCTATATGTTACTGTAAAAGCATGAACTTATGTTAGTCCTAAGATTTACCAACAAGGTATGGCCAAAATATAGCGGTACACTGTTAAAATCTATATAACGAATAAGCTTATTTTATGATAAGTGCAAAGCAAACATGAGATGTCCCTCAAGAAAATAGTATACACTTTCGTTAAAAGTCAAGCTAAGTATTTGAGGTTCCTCTAATGACTAGTGTTGCGCATGTCCTTGGCGTAATATCAATTAACATTAGGCAATTTGCTGCTCGTTTGCCTCTTTACACCGATGATAAAATGATAACAGCCTATTTTCGATTAATTTATAGCCCTCTACACAATATATCATGTTATAAAATTTGAATAAATGGATTAACTATGTATGTTAATTAAAAATAGCGCGGATAAGCTAAATTGGTTTGAGATCGAATATCGATTTCGGCCATAACTTAGCAATACTTTTTAATACACACCTATAAAGTGCATACATAAGTGTGCACTTTCATTGTAGTCATAGTATCTATGAAGTTATCGGTGATTCAAGTGCCCGGTGGTGAATTTGCGCTTGCTTTGGCTGCTGGAGTGGTGCTAGGGGGCGCTGGTGGGTGTTTGGGGACGCGAGAGGGGGGGGGGGCAAGGCGGGACAACCGGAGAGTCAAGGTTGTTGCCGCGATAGAATTTAAGCACATTTGTATTTCGTGTCACATCCCTCGCGGCCCGCCAGAGAACCGCGGTACCGTCAGCACAACATTCATTCTATTAAAATTATACAATACGTATTTCATTATTATTTCGTACAAAAACTGATCGTCCACAGATCACACTGTGAAAGTTTAGTCACAATCCAAAGAAAGGTTTACAGAACATCATAAATACAGAGAAACATTAATAATGTGTGTAAATAAAGAAAGAATGAGAAGGAAAAATATTCTATAAAAATATGGAAAATATTCTGTTTCCGTGCGCGGATGTTATTGTTAGATGTTACTTTGCTATTTTGGCAAATCCATGTGCTACCTTATAACACAAAAAACTGTTATTTGTTACAGATGGCGACCATTCAAATATAAAATTTATAACGAAAGCATGTTAACGAGTAATGCTATAATTACAAAATGTTGAAAAACAAATAGTATTATTTTGCAGACGCTACGGGGCCCTCATTGCGGATTCCGCGAGCCCGGCGCGGCGGATGGTCCCGGCTATCGTTTATAAAAGAGCGAAATACAATGAAAATTTTCACATTCCTACGTTTTTTGCGAACGCCCTCGCTGTCCGGTGAACGTGGTTGTGGTAGTTCCTCAAGTGTTGCCAGTGTCCTTGCATTGCTTTACATTTATATTTTTTCATCGCTGAGATATGTAAGTTTTTATTTTAATCCAAAATAGTTTTATAATAATTTCGTTTTGATCTTTATTATTTGTATTTTCAACTTCTGGTAGGAAAATGGCACACATAATATTTTTATTAATTTTTATAACGGAAATATTAATCAATATAAACTATTACGCCAACTATTACATTAATTATAATATATTAGTTGTAGTAAAAATATTTACTTTATTAATCTATATAAATTAATGTTCTACAAATATATCTTATTAATATAAGTAGGTATATGTTTACGAACAATTAACAACGTATTAAGAAAATGTGTCGGGAATGTGAGGTATGTGAAAGTAGTGGTAGTGGTAAAAGAATCTGTAAAGCTTTTATTTTTCATTAACTTTAAGTTAAAATACATATCTTACTAATATTACAAATGCGAATGTTTGGATAGATGGATGTGTGTTACGTTTCTTTTAATTCTTCGCAGACGGAGTCGCGGGCAACAGCTCGTATGAACATAACAATTTATTGGATAATTTTGTTATTATTGTGCTGCTGTCGTTCGATACACGCTATGTTTCGGTTATTTTAAACAAATAGAATAATTCTGTAACTCTTGCTACTCTTGGAAATATCAGTAATGTATCTCTGCGGCAAACATCCAGATCCGTTTAAAGTGTGATACCTGTTATCCATACATCTCAATATTCGCATTTACATTAAATGTAAGAGCTAAGATATGAAATTATTCTTCGGTCCCCTCCGTCAACTAGCAGGTGGACGATGAGGACGTTGTTGTGGTGTGCGGTGGCGTTCGCGGCCACGGCTGTCGTGCTAGCAGACGATGTAGAGCTGGAGCTACAGAGCGGACTGCTCGTCAAGATGCTGAGGGTATGTTGCTTATATGCCAAATTGCAAGTATATATAGTATATTAAATACAATAGCGTTGCTCATTACGGCGCCCAAAGCACCCGAACAATTTGGGTTTTACCCTTTTTATGGAAGCGGTGTCTTATGAAGAGAAATAAATTGCCAGTTGCTAATAATGACAGTTGCCAGTAATATTCCGAATTTTTGTGATAAGAAGTAAAGAAGTAGGAAAAAGTTAAATTATTTTTTGGCTTATTTTAGCGAGTTTGTAAGATTAGAAACATCTTAAGGTTGGATTTTTAAATAAACTGTTTGTCGTTAAGTATGGAGAAGTGTTTTTGCAGTAGTTACGCGTATTGACGATTGACGAAGGCACGGAGGTGCGGCCCCAAAATAAAATTGTGAACAATGACATTTTAGGAATGTGATAACACGACACGTGCGACCGTCCCTCTGTTACCGTGCATTGTTGAATTAGTTATGTTATTGCATTGTAATGTTAAACATATTAATAATTATGTTCTTTGAGATTACAATAAATTAGACATTCTCGGTTGTCAATCTTTTAACATCTGATTTAATAAAAATAGAAAAAAATATAATTAAAATATTATAGTATCTATGTATAAATAAAAACAAATCGGTGTTGCCGCTGCTCGTTTGCGACCTTCTGTTATGAAAAAAAGTACAGTGTCAAATGAAATATCATTCGATAAAACAGATACATTAATTGTATGCAAATGATGAAACGAATGGATCACTCAGTGATGCAGTTCATAATGACATTTGATTGAAAATAAAATTGAAAGATTGCAGGAAATAATTAAAATACATGGAATGTATCAAACATCCTTAGATTGAATCTGCGATATACATCTCTGAACGCGCTTTGCAACTCAAACGAAACTGTCACTCGCACCTTGCATCAGCTCGTACAAAATGTGACATAGATTCTTATCCATTTTATCATATAGCTACTACTTTGATCTTGCCTTGAAAATACCAGTTATTTTAGTTTTTTGTTTTAAAATAAATTATTGGCTTTTTAAACACTGTACAATCTAGAGTCTAGAACTGGAACTCTCTAATCCTCTCTAATCTTCTTAATCAGAATTGTTTTGATTGAGATTGATTGGATGGAGATAGATATTTAAAATTTTTCAACAATGACGATGATGACTCAAAAATGGTTCTTGACAGACAAACGGAAGGACAGCGAAGTGATGTGATGACAGTCTGCTTTTCTTTTCGAGGTGCGGAACCTTAAAAATGGTTTCACACAAAGTCTAAATCAATCTTAATATAACAGTTGTACTTCGTAAATCTAAGCAATTATCTTTCACAGCTGCATATAAATGATATATAAATATTAAATATATAAACGGGGACATGATGACACGTTTAAATAAGTCAAGATTGTGTCTTGTATACGGCCGGCTGTCACCTGGCTGACAGGGCGTCCTTTACTTTTAAAAGTATTGTTTTACTTTTAAATCCGCTTTAGCGCATTAATATGTATCCGGAGTCTGAGTGGTCGGGACTTGAGAGTTATTTATCTATTTACTAATATATGCATATTGTACAAGTGTCACCATTTCAGATTAACATAATTCTTTTTATTAAAGATAAATTGTATGAGATTATAAATAAATTTTAAAAATAATCAAATAGTTATCTATTTAAATAGTTCTATATGAATAAAAATTACTGTTTGTATGTTTGTTATATATACAAACATCGAGTTTAATGAAACTTTTTCTTGCTTTATCATTATTTTTGTCACAGTTTATACGCTTTTCCGAAATGGCATTGTTTCCTGCAGAATTCAGCTTCTCTTAAATAACAATCTTCCTATTTACCTTATCATGTATCTTATTGATTTTAAGTTTTTAGCAGTGTTAATATTATTCTTGTTTTTGAAATAATTTAAATAAATAAAATAAAAACTAAACTTTTAAAACTAAAGAGTCATTGGTAATAATTTAAAGTAAAAGAAAATCTATTGTTACAGGAGATGGTGAACCAGACGAAGGCGGACACGCTGAACCTTCCTTCAAACGCGACTTCCATTCGTGAAAACATTACTGACACATTCAGGTAATCTTTACAATCAATTTAACAGTCTCTCACTTTTCTATCGCTAGAACAAACTTACAGATCTCTCTGCATTGTAGCTACTTCTTCCCTGTTTTAATATGGTACGAGCATGACTTTCTTATTTGTCTCTAGTTTTCAAATATTTCATTCGAGAGTAAGCAAATAAGTGCACGTCTTCTTGGTTGATTTGTCAATATCCTTAGTTCACATCAATAAATATGTTACATGTTTGTTCAAGCTGCGAGAACCGCACGTACGGTTACTACGCGGACGTGGACAACGAGTGCCAAGTGTTCCACGTGTGCCTGCCCTCGCAAGCCGTCACCGGCAGGAACGTCACCTTCCGCTGGAGCTTCATTTGTCCAGCTGAAACTGTCTTCAATCAAGTAAGACATGATATCCAACATTATAAATATGAAGTGCATACCATTTGTTGTGACATGGTTTAAGTGTACTCTGCAATACACAAATTGATGAGATTATTCGTTTAATTTACAGGAAGTACTAACGTGCACGAGACCACGTGATGCTATCTCCTGCGAGGAGTCCCCGATGTATTACGACGTCAATATGGAGTTCGGTAAAGTGAATGACAGTAAGGAACAAACAAAACCCGAAGAAAATATCCCGATGAGCAACCCTGCACCGAATACTGAGTCCGTATCTTCGTCACCACAAAGATGGAATCAAGCAAACAGAAAAAAGCAAAATTTGATTGTTGGAACACTTTTTAACGACGTTGTACCAAATACGAAAACAGTAAGGGAAGTAATCAAGGAATACGATAACAGTTTTATGGACACGTTAAAAGAAGAAGTAAAAAATAACAATTACAACACGCTACAAACAGTAAATAAAGATTTCAGTACAGTGAATCAAAACGTCCACGATCTTAAAGAAGAAATAAAAGGAATAGAAAAGGAAATAGGAAAGATAACTGATGATATTAAGGACAGTGAATATAAAGAAAAGATGCAGGTAATAAAAGATAATATAAAAGACATTGTACAATACAGAAACGAAGGATTCGTGAATAATGATGCGAACTACGACAGCATGGAGTTTGATATAAATGAAGGATCAGTTGCGCTACCTCATGTCATACTGAAGAAAATAGAAGAGATGCAGGCTGAGCCTGTGATGCCTGTGGTGGTAGAAGAAGTCGTGCCTTCTGTTGAAGAAGTAAATAAAGAAGACGAGGAGGCGACTGTAACAGAACTTGATAATTCTAGAATAGTAGCGGAAAGAAGTTTGAAAAGGACTGGCCGGAAAATGTATCGAGGGTCGTTAAGGTTTAGACCTACATTGTGATAAAACCGCAAAATTGTTATATAGAAATTAAGTGTGAATTATATCTTCTGTGGTTAGTTTATTTTGCAGAAGAAATTTCCCCGATTTCTTCCGCAAGATGTCGTGCCTGATTTTTTTTTACATTGTTGACATCTGTCGTATAATTTTAAAAACCACAGTAAGATATCATTTCTATCACTGAATAAGGAATTCCTCGAGACCTTAAAGAAAATGTGCATAGTATTAGAAACGTAAGCTTGTAAATAGGCATTAAACAAAAGAAAGTCGAAAATAAAAAATACAACTCCTGACTAACGTGTTATTTATTTCTGCTTAAACAGACATTTTGAGTAGAAACGAAAAGTATAGTCATCAACGCAAAGTCAAGTTGACAAAAAATAATATAAAGTTTATAAGTACTGTTTGACACACCTACTCGTAAATAAATCAGTAAAATACTAAATTGTTGTATATTTGGTTCAATTATTATAAGTTTACAAATATTAACTACGATATGAGTGAAAAACAAAGTTTTTTTTCCTTGTTGATATAATAAAACTAAACCTGTGTCCAACATGTATTTAAGTGGAAATATAACTACTTTGAAGTATGTAGACAAACGAACAAACAAACATGCATACATTGCTATCTAGAAAATAAATGTTGTTGCCTTATCAATGTAGTTAATAACAATTCATATGGTTGACTTCAAACTGAAATACGAATTTCAATTAAATCAATTACTTGTCCAGACGCTGGCTGCTGGCATGGAGAATGCGCGCCAATTTATGAACATGACTTGATTTATAGTCAATACAATGTATGTACAAGTGTTGTTTTTACTTTTCACCTGTGTTTATATAATTACATCTAAAGATACTGACAGTGACGAGGCAAAGTATATAGATTTATTGCCCGAGGAGGAAAAACAGGAATTTCTAAACAGAATTGCTCTTAGGATTTTGGCAGAAATTAAAGGTCGAAATCGTGCCGATGGAACCAGTGTAGAGATATCTGATGAAAGACTGGACGAACATGATGCTTACGTTCAAAGAATAATGGAAGAAGAAACTGAAAAATTCAAGCACAAGCGGAGATTAGGCAGCCAAAGCAAAGGTGACGATATAGAAAATGATGACGCCAGTGAATCGAAAGGAAAAAATATAGAAAAAGAAAATGTACTCGGTCAAGATAAATCAGACACAGAATTATCTGTACTTAAAAATAACATACGGATAAAAAAGGATACCAATGAAGATGTCAAACAAACATCAATTGAGAGCAGGAGGATAAACTCAGAAGATACCTTTACAGATATACCAGTGCCTCTAATATATGACGAAGAGAATTCACATAATACAGTAACGGCTAAAAACGTCTTTGATATTGACGAGCCTGTGAGCGAATATTCAGTCGAGAAAAATATAAAAGTTGAAGGACTGAGTAAGAGATCGAATGTAAAACATGAAATTCCTGAAGCTTTTGAAAATCATAATGACACATCAGATTTTCTATTTCAAAATGAAGACAGCTCTAAAGAAATAGTTGATGTTCATAATTCTGAAGATAAGCGAAAACCTGACGTGGACTATGGGGACACTAAGATGGAGGCAACCACTGATGTACCTAGAACTTTGATTGATGAATTTGAACCCGAAGAAAAATCTAAAGAATCGGAAATAAACTTAACACCGAAAGGTATAATTATAAAAGGAAAAAGTAAAAATTTGGAATCTGGTTCTACAGGGAAAACTTTAGATATTTCTAATGGTAAATCATTTATATTGGATATCAAAAACACTAAAAAAACCATGAGTACTACGTCTAAAGTCAATGAGGAAAACTTAAGCCCTACTGAAGATTATGACAATTTAAAAATATCTCAAAAATATATTACTCCACGTTCGATATTAAGAAGTGAAGTTAATTTAAGTGAAACAAATACAAAAAACGAAAGTGTGACTGGAACCGAGAAAGACGAGAATATTCTAAAAGCGAATGAATTCGTAAACAGTACTAGCACAGATAAAATACATAAAGATAGCGATGAAATTGTTACAACTACAAGTAACATTTTAAATGAAAACACATCTTATAAAATTACCACCGAAAATATTGTGCAAAGAAACGGGACCAGCAAAGATACTCTTAGTGATGTGAAACAGTCGTTAAGAAATGGAGATACAGAACATTTTGAGAATACATTTACCCCAAAATATTTCTTAAAAAGTCCAAATGTTTTGGCATCCAGTACAGAAAATTCCAAAAGTCATTATCAGGTTTTCGAAGTTTGTAAGTATTATACAATATCCAGATATTATTTTTTCATTTAGTTATTGATATTTTATTATTATAACAATAAATATAATTTTCAGTTTATCTCATGTCCTAAAAATATCTTTACTATTAATAAAATTTATAATAAATTTACTTATTACTTTGCTCTTATTTGCAGCAAACAAAAATTCTCCATTTGTACCGTTAGAGCAAGTAAATTCTAAATTAGTGGAAGAACCGCATTACGTACCTGTTTACAATTACGACCCCAGCAATGCATTTTATACAGGTTATAATTATTTTGGTCCCAATTATGGAGAAAATGATAAAAGCATTGAAATAAATACCGATGATAAAGTACTATATAAAAAATTTAACAAACATAATTTCATAGCAGATTATACAAAGAAACAAGCGAAAAATCAAAATAATAGAAATTTGAAATTTTACGATAGTAAAAATGTAAATTTTAAGCCCCGAAGTGCAGCTTACCAGAATAATTTATTACCAGCTTGGAAAGGTGGATTTTCAGACATAAGTTTTAATCCGAATGATTATCTAGATTTAGACTATTACGTAGGAAGAACTAATGACGATATCGTTGACGAAGATGTTCATGAAACACCTCATACGTTTGTTTCGCAACAACTACGAGAAAGTAAATCGGAAGACGTTATCGATCCAGATGCAAGCTTAGAGCACTACAATATAAAAGATAAAATTACAGCGCTGCGCAACGCATTATATTTACATAAGTATAAACAAGTTAAAAAACCAAAGTTATCAAATGTTATTAACAAGAATTATCAATTAAAAACTAAATTTACAAAATGGAAACAAAATTTTGACCCAATATTGAGAGGTCTTGACGACACTTTTCTTATTTTCCTGCCGGGGGGCAAGGCGGCGGGGGGTCGGGGGGCTCATGATGATAAAAACATCGCAGTAGATTATTACTTTAGCAGAATGAATTCCGAAGAACAACCCTTGAGTGACAGCAACGAGACGTATTATAAACCAATACATACACATAAACGAATTACAACAGTCGATGAAAGTAAACAAAAAAATACACGCACTTTGGAAAAAGTAAAAGATACGAAATATAAAGTTGCGAAAGAAAAACGTATACAAATACCTCTAAGTCCGGATAATATATTGAAAATAGATCTAACTGTGAAGGATGGCAATAACGTTAATGTTATATTTAGGAACGTTAAAAAGCCTGAGCCTGACAAATTCGAGGTGTATTTAAATTCTTACGTGACTGTTATGAAGGATATGATAGAGCAGGACAATAAGGGCCTGCAACAGTATCATTGGCTGTCGACCACTGTTGACATACAGTCCGCCATCGACAAGTTAATGCTGTTGACGTGAGTATTGTACATGAATTTATACTCTTAGTTTATATCAAAGCAGTTATAAAAATAACTAATAGATAAAACCAATGTTATGGAAATTTGAAATAATCCTTTAATCTATTTGATTAATTTCTTTTATATATTTGTTTTTCAGCGAAGCTTTAAAAGAACACGAAGAATTGCATTATTCAGATTTTGAACTCATTAAATATATCTTATTTGTATTTCAAACTTCTAATAAACTTATTAAAGAAGATGCAGATAATATCCAAAGAAGTAAAAATAAAGAAGACAAAATTGTAAAGTCTCCACAGAGAGCCGTCAGTAACGGAGTGGGCGGTGACGCAGACCAGTCGCTGAAGACGCTACGTAAAATATATGAAGATATAAAAGAGATTCAAGAAATGAGTGTGACGATGAGTGGAACCGCTTTGATAGAATTCCAGAATTTCTTGTTAGATCTACAGTCGAGTTTAAATAAGGTATTCGACGAATTTTAAATTAACGGTACCAGAACCGAATAACATCGAATTATTTTTAAATTGAACAAACGAATTGTCACATGAAATTAATCACACACAAAACATTGAATGCAGTTTCTTTACTTCAAAATACGATGAGTTTTCAATCTTAAAAATAAGCAAACAAATTATTTTATAAGTAATTAAGTAACAAACTAACTTAGATACCAAGCAGGCGGTATGATTAAACTGAATACTAATACATGTTTTATAAAATTTTAGCTTCACGAAGCAGTCAAGGAAATAGCAACTATCACTAATTATAAGAAGCAGAATTGGTTTTACGATTTAAAGCATTTGTATCTGTTACCTGTGGAGAGAGATATATCTCTCACTTTACTTCTACATCTTGCTACTTCTAAATTATTCGGTGTCATAGAAGATGGTGCAAAGAAGGGCCTAGAAGATAACTTTATAATCTTCGTGAAGAACCACAGAGAAGAAGTGGAGAGAACAAGAGATGATTTCATCTTTGTTTTGAGATTGTTGAGAGCAATAAAAAAACCGGAAAGTTAATTATTTTTTTGTGTGCAAGAAAAACCATAGTTTAATTGTTTTGTTATTTTTTTTAATAGTATCACAACTTTCACAATACTACAACTAAATAAACGTAATAGCGACCAAAATATAACTCAAATAATAAATATAAACTTACACACAGTACATTATGCCTTTATTTAAAGCTATTTACATATTTTTAATTTAATTATTTAGTTTAAATAAAAAGAAAAATAAACTAGCTTTATTCTTTGTTCCTGCTGGAGTTTCAACATGTTGTTGAGTTGAAAAAAAAGTTGCTACTTTGGTGTTTCTTTTCAAACGAAAACTTCACGGTTGAAAATGTTTTATAACATTAAAAATTATAGTATTGTTTGTCAAATAAATTATTATCTGTAGGATTATTAGATAAGATATTGTATTTCTTTTAAAAAGTCTTAATAAAATTCTACATAAATATGCAAGTAAAAGTTATTTTACAATTGTAGGTATTTTAAAATACTAATAATCACATTTATTTCACAAAAGGGAAACCTTTGGTTTATCTTATTACAATCTATCAATCACATTAACTGTGGCTTTCTGAAACAAAAATCTCCGTTTAAACAATATTGTAATCTCTGTTTTGTCAAAGATAATGATGATACGTGTTATAAGATATTTTGGTATCAGAAACCCACGGTTACTGACATATGAAACGAGACTGTTTGTCTCTCGTCAATAAATACAAGCTTTATTTATTTTTGGCAGGATTTTTATCAGCCTTTTATTATATTATGAGCTCTTATTGTCTATTAATTGACTTGTATTATTCTACAGAAAATTATTATATTATTATAACTTTTATATTTTTCTGTGTAGTTTTGAATCATTTAGAACGCATCGCTTTTTATATAAAAATACGACATTTTTGGTACATCATTATGTCGAAAAAAATTTAGAAATTATAGTTAATTTCTGTAGAAATGTGCAACTACTCAATTACACAATAATTGACTACAATACTATAGTCTGCCAATTTGTAATGCAGAAAAAAGAAACAGTTTGCAAAATTAACAAAAACAATACTCACACATTTGATAGTCATCTAACATCTTTACAGTTTAAAACTTAAAACAGACTACTTGCTGCCTCTCAGAGTACGAACCGCTTCGTAACCACTTAATGACAGCGAGTGAGGCAGTTAAATACTCGTATGTAAATGTACAGTACTTTAATTTAAGTTGGCACGTCAATAACAAGGGTAATCTAATGTCTGACGTGCCAACTTATATCACGTGTACTGCATTATCTTTGGTCAGGCCTCGGTCTCAAAGTCTGCTTCTATCTCCTCCGGCGTGCGCAGATCGATCGCAAACCTCTTCTTAAGACTCGGCGGCTTGTCCTCTTGATCTGGAAAACACAGGCATTATTTTTAAGGCAATTAGCATTGAATCAGTAAAGTCAGGTTGCGAATTTTGACAGATCTTTTTTTTTTTATATTCTAATGTGGTAAATGAGCTAGCGGCCACCTGATTCGTCGAAATAGCGAAGCGACACCTGACTCTAGACATCCTCAATTATAGATGTGTCGCCACCCTTTAATCGACGGAGGAGGGGACGCACAGTGAGAGAATATTTCCCTTTCCTATGCGTCCCCTCCTCCGTCAAATCAACTTCCACTTACGATCCGTTCTTTATAAAAAGGGTGGGAAAGAAAACCGATTAAAAAGAGATCGCAGAATAGCCCGCAGTTTAAGAAACGTGGTCATCACCTGGTGCGGTTTGCATTTCCTTAACTCTTCTTGAGTAGTCCTGGAAGGCAGCTGCAAGCGAATACGTCAGCCGTCTCGCTGCATTTCTGAAAATATATATATAGGAATTATATTTATTGATAAAATCAATACGGTTATAATAACTGATCGAAAATGAAGGAAGTGTGTCAATATTTTCAGTATAGATATTTTAGTTAAATATTTTCTTTATCTGACACAGATTTATATCTTGTACAGTAAAAATAAACAGAATGAATTGTGTCGTGAGAATTATTGTAAGTGGAACATCTCTGATGTCAAGAGAGATGCTACTTTAGAAGATAGTGCGTTATTTGCAATCTTTTATCAAACATCGCTCGAGAGTGGAGTGGGATCTGATTATACGATGGAGTAATGAATGAGATAAGTCAATATAATATCGGATGGACTCTTTTTTTAAATATAAGTACCTAGATTCACAGACGAAGGCGTGACACTCGAATGGGTTCAACCCCTTTAGGTCCGCGTTGTCTTTCACGACGATCATGGAGAAGACGCGCGTGTAGACGAGGTCCTGGACGCCGTAGGAGATGGACTCGATGTTGAAGAACACCGCCATGTGTTCGAACTCGTCGCGCTTGCCGGCCAGCCGCGCTGTCTCCACGTGCACGCCGTCCACTGTTATCATTAGCTTTACCATCGGCAGGATTTGACCTGGAATATAACAATTATTTCATTAATCTATGACGAATATCAGATTTTAAATTGATAACATATCTTTATTTCATCTAACCAACTGAGAAATAAGAGTTATTATTCATTTTTTTTGTATAACTTATTATTAGATTTATTTCAAGTAAGCTCAAGGCTTATGATAGAATATGGTTTACGATAATAGTCTAATGGCGGGATTCTAACTCTTGACCACTTGATCGGAAATCCGTACCCTAAATCATTTGGCTATTGGAGTTGTAAGAAATGTTTTCATTCATTTACACGAAACGAGATAACAATGTGTTTTATACATGTGTTCATGTATCTGTTATAGTTAGGTATTGGTGTAAATTAAACACTTTGCTTAGTGTGTTGGAGGGTTACCTGGAGGCAAGGCTTTAGCGGCGGCGACCATGAGGTCGACAGGCTTGCGCGTGTGCTTGATGCCCCACAGGCCCCGTGCGTCGCTCTGACCCAAATATTTCACCTGCAAAAAAAAACTTCGTAACAGAATACTTTATGATTTGTACTTCGTCACTGGAAATATGTTTAAAGATTGACAGCTGTTATTCTATTTGAGTTAACATTAGCACGTTGTAATAAGCATGACGATTGACGATGAGATTGTGTAATGACATGACCACACAGTAGCGGTGCAGCGCGGTGCGGCGGTGACATGACGCGTCACTTTCATGTCTTCTTTTGTCGCACTTCCGTCCAATACACTTTCTCTGCCCCGAGGTCGTATATAATACTATGCTCCAATGAGCGAATAATATAACATATTCAGACTATTGCTACATACTACAACAGAAACACGGGATCCTTATTCAAGGCATACATCCGCAACACTTATCGTAATCCACTTCGAATCGTTCTTTGCTTTAATTAACATTTGGTTCCAATCTAACTGCAATATAGGACGATAAGATCGCAACAGTAATCGCAAAACAAGATGTACTATTAAGAGGATATTTGAATAATATTTGAATTAATTTTGGTACAGATCTCAAGGATGAAATATTGATTTCGACAGTTAGCCAGCAGTTCACAGCTGTCCAGTGAAGTTCTCGCGTCCGCGGTGTAGCGCAGTGACGTCACTTCCGGTGCCTCGGATCTGCTCCAATTACCGGATACATTACGTTGTGACTCTACATTGCGGAGGTTTTTGTGTAGAACCAAAAATTAATATAAATGGTAGCAGCAGCGAGTACAAGAAGAATTAATGTAAAATAACACAAGTAAATATTGTGAACTCAAAAACTATTGGACATAAAAACTTGCCTAATATAGTTGTTTCATTCACAATATTTACGCAAACGAATTGCCTGTCCTTCTCTATGTCTCCAGTTTACAAGTTTGGATGAAATTAATCTTAGTAGGAATATTAACAGCAGGCTACTTAGTTGTAACCTATCGTAATGTTGTTAGGAGGAAGGGGTGCGGGGGAGGGGAGGGTGGAGCCATCCATCACGACTATCGCACAGATCGGAGTGAACAGAGCGGAACCGACTTGCTAAATTACTGAATACTACATACATTTTGTATGCGAATGTGTTCAGCCTTCTCATTGTTAGTCCTACAACTAATACGAGTATGAATAGATCAAACATATCACCTTCATATAGTATAGCTTGATATTTATGTTTGTAATAACAGAAAAGAATACTTCGTTGGAGCAACAATTTCGTTTAATTTAAAATAAATCCCACGAATTTTTTGATATTATCGCTTCGAGGTTAATTATTACGTAAACTATTGCATTGTTTTGGATCTAAACTACAACCAACTACAATAAAAACATTTTTTTATCTACATGTATGTCAGTTTGGTTTAAAGTTTTTTTATAATTTAAGTTAAAAAATCGTTTAACAAATGGCACATACCAATTACATTTAATAAAAGCTAATATTTCATTTTAATGACGTCATGACTTTATGAAATGTAACATGACGTCACTCCATCTCTTTTAACATTAATTAACCCTAATCATGCTCTATGAGTCACTTAATTATGTGGGTTATGTGCTGCGCGCTTCAAGAATAATAAGTACTTTATCAAGTATATTAATTAGTTAGGATTACGAAACTAGTTGGTGCCAACACCTGACTTCACTAAGCATGAGTGTAAGCATTTTTTTATTATTTTATATTATGTATAAGTGCGGCGTATCGTACAGAATGGTGTGAAAAATGGCGGGCTTACGTTCGGTAGGGGATGGTTTCAAGACTAGAGGAGCTTACTTGAAATGTAATCGGCAGGTCGTCCACAGTGACAGGTCCCTCGTTGTCCGCCATCGCTGTGCCCTTCACATAATACGACCACTCCAACTTGAAACATTCAAACTAGCCTCGAGCAGCTCACAGCATCATAATCTGCAAACAGAGAAAGGGATAATTCTCATCTTACTTATCTTACAAATAATATAAACGTGAATGTTTATAAGTATGGATGTTGTTTGATTGTATCTCTAAAACGGTTGCTTAGATCTGAATGATAGAGGTGAAGAATAGTCGGGACTAATACATAGCCTACTAATTAAGTTTTTTTTAATTCGCCCACGGACGAAGTGGTATTTTCATATTTTTCGCGTTACTTACGGTTCACTTTCGCGGCAGTATATAAAAGTGGTTGTTACGTTGTGTATTGTCGCATGTTTCATTCGCTTATCAATTGTTTATCAATGCTTAATTAAACTTGCAGGTTCGCTGACGTCACGTGAACAGTTCGAAGCCTTCTAATTGTTACGAATAACTGTAATTGTAGCTACAAATGGTACAGTTACACTGAATGTTATAAGTTAATAAATTACGTACATCGTTGTAAATGTCAGTTTTTACTGTTGAAACTCGTCAAAAACATATCGTTTAAAGAAAAAGACAACGTGTTTTTTATCAATGGAAACACATTAATATATTTGTTATCTTCTTTCATTTTACTTTGCTATGGTTTTGGATTGTAATCAAGCTGCATTAGATTAGGGGGACTAGCAGTTACAATAAGACATATGGCATCACACCTGCTTTATTTAAAATGGAAGCGACAGTTGCCGTCCCCCAAATATGTTACAACAGAACAGGTGAATTAAATTTAAAAGAAGTTTAATTAGTACTAAAGTGCTTCAGTGTAAGTGTCTAGTGCTGTTGAGTGCTGAGTCCACAATTGTGTAAAAATGAGTAATACTTTATTTTGTTATTGTTAAAAGACAAAGAGCAAGGGCCGACTCTGAGAGATGTCATTGTGAACGCGTGTGAGTGACGAGTGCGCGGAGACGAGCAAATAAACAAACAAATACATTACAATTGTTGAAAGATGTGTCTCAAAACATTGCGAGGGAATTTGCAGCACCACAAAACAATAAACATCCTTACAAGAGGTCATATTAAATTGGTCTTTTCAATTGATCAAATGAATAAGTTACTGAGTCTGCATTTAAATCAGACCTCACAATGAACTATCATCATCACCTTTTTCCTACGGAGGGTCGCAGCATGTACTAGATACTTTTTCTTAGTTATATCCTCTTTCACACAATCCATTAATACTTTCTATAATTGTCTTTCTTGTTTAATTGCCCAACATCTTTTGTATAATAAATACAATGTCTGGCTTTTTACATTTTCAATTATAAATGGCTATTTCGATGAGTTATAGTTACAATATGAATATTAGCGCAATGCGAACAATTTCTCACCTCTAAATGCACTTGTTCACACATCACTGCGCTCTTAATTATGTTATTGTCTTATATATCTACGTGGTATACAACTATTGGCGTGCATGTAGTACCCATATGTTTTATAACAAGTATTGTACGTACGAACTTAGCCAAATTTACAAAAAGTATGGCTGAAAATGCGTGAATTTTTAGAGTTGTAGACATGTGTCATATTATTGTTGTCTCTCTTATTTGCAAGGATGATGAGAGGGATGGATGGAAACTCATTGTACATTGGCTAACCGCGGTTTATAGTAATATCTTGGTTTTTAAATTTTTTTAAATAGTTATAGTGACTTTAGTGAGTTGTGTGGTTATAAAAATGTCATTAATTAATAAAAAAGAGCGGGTGTCATTGGCGGGTTTAGCAGTGGTGTTATCTTATCAGTTTGTCACGCGGCGAGTGCCGGCGAGGCTGCGCTCTGTGTGCCAACAATATTATCATTGATTTTCATTAACGATTACCAACTCTAAGAAGTATATATGCTTTTTACAACAAAGATTATGACTGTAAAGATTGCGTGCTTGATGTTGAGTATAAAGTTTTTGGAAGTTAATGTAATACAACTAACTTGTATTAACTTAGATTAGATTCTTGACGAACTTGATGATTCGTACTTTGAAAATTCAAGTCATTGTACTATTGCCACACATTTGTTAAAATACACTTAAGTTTTTGAGTTCATGTGAACAAGTTGTGCTATTTAAACATTCTTACATCTTATTAATAGTTTAAATGCGAATGTTTGATCGATGTTTCTTAGAAGATATCATCAAAATGGCTCAACGCATCGTGATTAAAAACACAGATGTAGAATATAGTCTGGAGGAACACATAGGCTACTTATTGACTTTTTTTTAATTACACGCGGACGAAGTTGACGGCAAAAACTAGTTTATAATATAATTTATAATTTTAGATACACATTGTCATTTAGGGAAGACAAATTGGTTGCATATATTTGTGACGTCACACGAGATGTTTGTGTTAAAACAAGTCGCCGGCTGATGTGATATCACACTATCATTGCTGATAGTGATAACATATCACACCTCACTATCATATCATGTATTTTGAGTTACGCGATACGCACGCTTTATATTAAAAAGTTATAATTATTTTATAAGTATAAAAGCTATAAATAATCATAACGATAACTCTATACAAATTAAAATACAACATTTGATTCGTTTAAAAATAATTATGACAAACCTATTTACCCTTTTCCTTAAGTAGGGTCGACATAGTACAGCACTTTCATACTTATCTGCCGTCATAGTTACATCACCCTTAACTTATGTTAGACCTATGTTAGTCCCTCAGTGGATACGTATAGTGAGCTGATGATGATATTTGAATTTACTCCTTTATGTATATCCTCTTTTATACAAACCATCTTATCTCGTATTCGAATAAAGATATGAAGATATTTTTAGTATTTAAATGTAACGGAAATCATTCAAAATCCAGTCTACAAGGTTATGTAACGAACTTTGTTGAGCGAAACGAATTCACATCGTGATAAAAAGTTAAACATTCTGCTTCATATATGGTAGCTACTTAAGAAGTTGTACAAACATACAAACCGACATATAACATTGTTTGAAAGATGCAGAGTAATCGCGCCAAATACGTTGTCTCGTATAGTTCTATTCTTTTGTCCATACTAATGTTATAAAAAGGAAAGATTTAATTGTTTGTTGGCATTGAATAGGTTCCGAAAGTACTGAACTAATTTGAATAATTCTTTTATTAGACAAACAAAGGCTTTTTTACTTTATATATAATATTTTACTTCCTTACGGATGAAGACGCGGGCAATAGCTAGTGTTTTATAATTTCATTTAAAATTCTATTTATCAATTATATCATATCACTTGCAACACTGTTCATGTAAAAATATATACATCTCTATGCAAGGATGTGTTTTTACGCCGAAAACTCAAAATAATTCTGTAGGAATTTCGTACAGATTGTATTTGAATTGAATATTATTAAATATTCTACTTTATCACTAAATATTAAAGTAATAATAAGTTAATAAATCCACTTTCAGATATAAATTACTTTTTAATGAGTGTTTCATATATAAATGTACTCATTCTCTTGTTAAACAAACAGAAATGTGAACTTACACAAATGTAAGAAAAACTATAGACAAAAAATAAAATACACAAATATACGTACTCTTTCATAGTCATTGAAAGATTTCATTTAAAGATAAGGTTAGTTAAAAATGATATATCTGTAAAAAATAAAACTCACCAATACAAAATAATCCAATACGAAGTCCGAAAACACTGAAAACTTTACACTGTTATAAATCCCGCCAAATCACAGCAAAAAAATTAAATTAAAAAGACAATTGCAATATGGCCGCGTCCGTGGCGTGCCGGGCGACGCGCAATTCTGAATACAAAATTGTGTTTTCAAAACGTACGTATATCACATCCAGAATAAAATGAGCCGCACGCTACCATTACTTTTGCCGCCTCAACTGCGTCCTATGAGGTCAAGTTATAGTGGTGATGTTATAAATGTTTTTTGCGGTTTTGCTCTCTTCAAATCAACTTTACTGCGTTGGCAATAAGGTTGAGCAGTTTATAACAAGTGCACATATATGTTGGTGTTTTCATCAATGGTTAAGGTAGTGTAGTGATAAGACATACAGTATGTTCCGAAAACTTTATTTTAAAAAATGACAAAATCACAAGTTAATTAGTAGCTAGTAAGTCATAAAAAAGCGGTATAATAATATTGATTAAGTAACCTAATGTACATTAATAATAAATAATTATAAATACGTTTTACAACAACAGTTGACGTAAAACCGATTACACTAATATATTATAACAATAAATATAAATAAAAATCTACATTACTACAAGATAGACAAGAGTAAGAATCATACAGTCTAGTTGTTTTAAAATAACTGATTTTTAGGACGAGAAGTAAATGTAGAACCTGCTGTATAGTGTACATAATCACCTGTGGCGCAGTAGCGCGTGTGTGTGTGTGAACTGCTACACACACCCACACTCACATACTGTAGCAGCGGAGCGGCGCTGCACGCCAGGATGCTCCACTTTAATTTCACGTAATTAACTTCGCAATATCCTCTTCATACTGTAAATTTTTGTCAGGGTTAAATTGTACTTTACTATGCGTACAAAAATGATTAATAATTGAAAATAATAACTGTCTATGTTTAATTAAATAATAAACGACCACCAACAGAATTAGTTATTTTTACAGGTGTAATAATAGCAATAGTATATATAATTAATAATAATAATAATAATAGTAATAAAATTATATAAAAATATTTAATGAAAAAATCACCTTAAGAAACAATAACAATCTTATTTTCGTTACTTGGGATTTTATTCGGGAATGAAGTAGATTAGGAACAAAAAGACCGAAAAAATGCTATTGAAATTAAATAAAATCCTTAAGTACGGCAAGTAAAGCATACTTGCATAGAGGTGGGGTGGCGTATGTATTGTCCACGGTTGGGCGCGTCGCCCACGCGGCTCACACGGTCGCGACTGCGCCGGTATGGTTCAGCGAGTCCGGGGCCCAGGGTTCGACACCCTCCACCTACAACGAACAACGATCTAAATTATAAAAAAAAACTTCAAGCATTATTTCCTTTTCAAAGGTTATTTTAAGAAAAATTCAAAATATAAATTGAACGGTTCAAATTAATATTTATTTTTTGAAAATATATGTGTATGGAAAAAAGGTATCGTGGGAGAAAATCATTTTATTAATTATGACGCAAAAAGCTGTGTACATCTTCTTAAGGAACTTAACTGCCAATGAATTATGGTAAAATTCCGACCAATGAGCGATCACTAGTATTTATAAATGAGTCAATTATGTTACGTCTTTATATTTTAGTTTTATCGCAATAGATGGCACTAGTCGTGTTTAAATTGTAGTAACTTAATTACTTTGCGTATTAATTAAATAGAGTTGACGTATTTAGAAAACAGCGTCAATAAAGATATTTTTATCACAGTTACATGTTTATTTTAAAATAATTATTTTGACTTTTGATTAAATGAAAAGTTAGCTATTTAGAGGGAAACGCCTTATAAATTACAAGCGGCAACAAATCTTTTTTTAGTTTTGCTATTTAGTTAAAAATAACTGCAGATAACGATTAAAAATCATTCTTTATCATCATCATTAATTCTGGGTAAGATAATTGTTCAAAATGTGTGAACAAATATCCTCAATGATTAACTTACAGATTAAATATTATATAGATTTAAAGAAAACATTATTACGTCAATATTATTTTGTTATTTATTTAGAAAAAATTTATGAAAATTTGGCGTACCTTTAAGGTTTTCTTAATTTGTTGCAACTGTAGATAAGTGAACATAACATAAGAATTATTTAGTTTAGAAGAACAGTTTGAGTGTAATATTAATTAGAACCGTTGTAATCAAATATCATTTTATACGAACACCTAAACCTGAAACATTCAAATTGTATTTGACAGTTTATAGTTTCGCGGTTTTGTTGTTACTGGATCAGGGACAGATTGTGAACGTCCCAGTATCGTTGTCACAATGAAAAAGCAAATATAAATATTATACTAATTTTAATGAATTTAAATTCAAAAGCAAGTACATTGACACAAAACTTGTTTAATATTTTTGATGGTTGTAAAAACAGATATTGAGGAAAATTTACGTAATAACTAGCTGTCGCCCGCGACTCCGTCCCCGCAGAATTAAAAGAAAAATCTTAATTAGTAACTTATGTGTTCTTAAGACTATGTTCTATATCTATGCCAAGTTTCAACGAGATCCATCCAGCCGTTCCGGAGTTACCTTCAAATAAACATCCATACATTCTTAAATCTAAACTTTCGCATTTATTTTTCTCTGAATTTATTAAGAATCAAGTGATAGTAATAATAGGAAACTGAAAAAGTTTGCTTGATCCATAAATATTGTTTTTAATAATGATAATAAAGTTTACATTGTAACCTACCAGCAATTCGTCAAGACACTGTGTAAGGCATAATGTAATTACAAATTATCCATGGGTCGGTACATTGCGACTGCAGTTGTGTTAGATGAGGCACGGTCGGGGGGCGGGGGGCGCGCGGCGGGGGACGGGGGGAGAGACACCTTTGAGAAATATGTGCAAGTATCAAAAGTAATCGCAGTACGCATCTTAAATAGTTGTGTGAACTGAGACACTTAGGAAGTGTAGCGGAGCGCGGGGGCGCTGGCGGCGACCTTGTGCGGGACACTAGCGCCACACTCTCCGCGGCCTCTCTCTGCCTCTCTCTGCGACCTCATTGTAATTACAAAAATCAGATGAGACTTGTAAAACAAAGCCCTTCCTTGCCACACCCAAGATTATTCTGTACGAATTTCATGCAGTTAGATAGTCGCCCAGTGTATTAATACATTTTAAAAGATAAACATTTTGACTTGTCTTTTACAGATGGTTTGGGCAGCGCAGCGGTTACATCGCATAACGACTTCAGGTCTCTGTTCACAACTCGTCCTATTAAAAATAATATAACTACACAACCTAATGATCTTTAAAGGAAATTAACTGAATCGTTCTACTTGAATAACATTTACTTTCAGTTGATGTTCATTTCATTAAAAATGATAAAAGTACGTTTTAATTTTATTTAAAAAAAATCACTTTTTACATAACAAAAAGACAACGAAACATATTTGACATTAATATTTATAAATAAAAAAAGTCGAATTGAGAACCTTCTCCTTTTTTAAATCAGTTAAAAGTTTAAATTACTTGCACATGGTAAACAATATTTACCTTAATATAGCTGAGTCAGCGTAGTAAGGACTCTAATTAATTACCGCCAAATAGCATTGTTGCGATGCGTCCACCAGCCGTGACCATCTAATCGTGTCATCGACCTTAGGGATGTCATGTCGCATTTGTACTATGACCTATATTTTGGAAGTCAGTTGATTGAAGGTCATGTGACGAAATTATTTTTAGTTAAATTTTTATGTTAATTTCGTACCATTCAATGAATTTTGACCACTCTGAAAATAATGAACCAGCAGTAAAATGTGACAACAAATACTTATAACAGAATTAAAATATAATGATTACGATATGACAATACTTTTTTCAGTGAAAACGCACCGTTAATCTGCAGTTAGAGATGTAGCGTGTTTCCACGTGTACGCTATTATCACTTGACTGGTACAAGATTAGCTGAACTCTGAATTTATGTGCAAATTAAACTGTGCCATCAAGTTAGATCATTGTCATACTCATAGCTATGTATGTCGCTTTGTAAGAAGTTTTTTTTTAAATCTTTTTTAAGATTTTTTCTTTCGGTGTAGTGGTCTAGTAGTCACATTTTTAAGGATTTAATTGCGACAAATAATTCATCAAACTCACAGAATTTAGAACCTGGGTGATAACACAATAGCTCGTTGCTATTTCTTGTAGTTTATGGCTGTTCCAACACAAACTTATTCTATTTATCTAGATTATAGAGCACATGACATAGCAACGCGTCCGACACAAAGTCGCACATCTGATGATCTACAGCAGAACTATCTATGTATACTTATTGAACAAAAAATAAAGCTTAGAAGAAGAAAGAAGTTTAGAAACATTCCTAGTTAGATGAATGAATCAAAAGGATGTCATTTGTAGGCAGAGCGCGAGTGGTAGGGAGCAGCAGGGAGCAGCAGGGAGCAGAGAGAAGCTATTCAATATATTTGTAGTAATTAGAGTCCGAATGTTGTCGCCACTTAACTTAATATTGTCTCTCAAAGTAAGATGATTGTAACTTCATACTCCGCGGCCGGGGATCGTGGGAGCCGCGTTGAGATAGCATGGATACGACTATAACGCTTGCGGTGTTAATTAAATGATACCACACACAAACAATATTTAAATAATAGCAAAAAGATGTGCTTTAGAAAAATTAAATAAATAATATAGTGATTACACATTTTCTTTACAAATGCCTATAAAGAAAGTATAATTGTCGTAAATCAATGTGAACTTATCATTTAAATAAATGTTTACACTCACTATTGGCAAACTCTCTAAACACTCTATTATACATGGCATAGCTCCTTCTATTAAGTATTAACTTCATTATTTTATCAGCTTAAATAAAAAAAATGGCATAAAATTAACCAAAGGTTAGGGCGACAGTACATTTTTAATTCGTAAATAGTCAAAAGCGTCTCATAATTGTATTAAAATTGTGTATTTTACAGTAATTCTTCTTGATAAGACAATATACCAAAAACTTTATGAGTCTAGTGCATTAATAAATATTTGAAATCAGTTATTTTTGTGGCTTCAACAAAGTGAATGCATTATAATATTTTTGTGTTTGTGTTATCCATGTTATGCTCCACAATGGTATATATTGTCGGGAGGTAGGCGGGTAGGGTCAGTTGGTTGTGTGCGAGCGAGCGCCCCGTGTTAGTTCTCGTCCTAGCAGACTTGCCCGACTGCCCGACTGTACAGCGACATCTAGGTATGTGCAATTACATTAAAAACAAATTTAAAATTTAATAATACTTAATCACCACTTAATCGTGATTTTTTAAAATGAATTTTAAGAATTGAATGTATTTGATTAGTTGTGTGGTTCTTAATAATAATTAGGTTAAAAAAAATAAAAAAGACGCCTGAATTAGGTAATATGCGATATCATAAAACTTGTATGTACTTTTTTTTCTTAATTTGTTTAGTAAAATGTGCGTTCATTGAAAAGTTTCAACAATACGGAACCAAATACTATGTAAATTTGAAACAATGCGTTCAAAACAGTTCACAAAAAAATTATAAGAATTATTTTTTTGTGTATTTGTACTTAGTTTTAATACTTCACAGTTTTGATGAAATAGCCATTAAACATTTTTCTTGAATAGTTTACTTAATTACTAACTTATATTTACATATTTCAAGTGTCAAAAACAATTGATAGAAAGAGTTAATCATTTGTTCTGGGATTTACTAATCCATCTTAAAACCATTCATGCAAAAACATACATGTTTTTTATTTGCATATTCTGGTGTGATCTAAAATCGATGCATTTTAAATGTTGTGATAGTTATGTACATTTGTTTTTAAATGTTTTGCGTGTAAATAGTTTCCTGTGTCCGCTTCCTTACACCCCGCACACGCACGCCGCACTGCCTGAAGAGTAAATACGTCACTTATATAAGCTAAAGTTTCATAATCACTGTGGTTTGTTCAGCTGAAAAACATCGCACAATTAAGTAGCATGTAACTATAATTATAACAAGTTAAATTGCAATAATAAATAAGTTCAAATATGTATATAAAATATCGTGTAAAATAAATTGTTGTGACATGTTTGTAAAGAGAATAAGCTAAATTGCGTATGTATAGTCTAATGAAAGCAGTAATTAGGATAATGTTTACGAACATATTTAAATAATTTATCATTTTAGCAACTTAATGTGATGTTGATACAATTTATAAGTTATTACACACGTTACGAGTCTCGCAACAGATCGTATACGTAATATCGACGAAGTGATTACAGAGAACTCATGTCACTGCATACAGATTGTAACAATGATTGTCTAACACTAATTCAATTGTCTATCATTCAATAATAACTTAATTAACTTAAAAATATGTTCTTTACACATAAATAATCTTATACAAATTAACAAACTCTGTTACTTTCAAGTCTTTCGTAGTTCTTGCTTTAAGTTTCTTCCATTAATAGTCAAAATAATCTAGTGAATACATGAATAATAAAAAAATATTTGACTAATAATTATCTTGAAGTCTGTCACTTATCTTATTTTTTATTATGTAAAATCATATACTAGAGGCCATATCCAGCATGTACAATGTGAGAAACAAGTTATATTTTGTTGTCTTATGAGAGTTTAATTAATAGTATCATTATCTTGTGTATACCAGTTATACAATTACTCTCCATCTGTTATATAACAATACATAGGGACAGGACATCCACCCTTATGTCACTGCCACACCGCACTACTGTCGCGCCGCGCCGTGCGGTATGCGGTCAGTGTGGCATTGCTTCCTGACTGAAAACTGACCCCATATGTCACTGTCGACGTATTCTGATATATTAGATTTATACTATAACAATTTAAATTATAGATTTGTTTGAGTTGTATTTGCTATGCTGTTTAATGCACAATATAACAGTTCACAAATTTACATTTTCTAATAGTTAGTTCACAAATTCTAATGGTTAAGGGTATAGGGATGTCCGATCAAGAGGTCGTGGAATCGAATCCCGTTGTTCGACTTTTGTCGTAAATTATGTTCTAGCACAAGACCTTAGGTAAGTTGGAATGGTACAGTAATTTTGTAAACTACCGATATTTACAATGTTGCACTACATTGTTTTAGCAGTTCATTTGTCAGACAAAGCCGGATACTGACGCAAGCGTAGTACACCACATCACGAGGTCACTAAAACATTTAAATGTTTACGTTACTAAACAAACGAATTTAGAAAATTGGACATAATTTTTAGATTACGTAGTGTGAGTAAGTGCGATAAACCTTACTTGATATGACTTAACTTATGCTTAATTTTGTACCGAAAATTTACAAATAAATAATTTGTCATTTTCTACATTTAATTTTGGGGGTTTGAGTATGCGCAGTCTTTATTAAGTGAATTATAACATTTTAAATCATATCTGTTTTACTTTCAGTATTTGAGTTAACTGATGCCAGATTAAATTATTTCTTAATACTAAAGCTTAAAAATCTAGGTTCTTATCAACTGTTACTTAATCTCGTTGAATAACATTATAAATTCATGGTCACCATTGAAAAATTCCACCTAATTATGTGTGTTGCTTGTGACAAAATCCTATCGACATTAGCTGAGGCCTAACGAAACAGACAGACAAAAACAAATACAAATGAATGTGGAAGTGGTAAAAACTGTGCTGTAGTAACACGCGGCAATTTCCCCCGCGTGAGATCCCGTCGACGAATTGTCTAACATTGCCCAACAAATGTACGGCCTTCCTGGAGACTGGAAAAACTATCATAATTTACACATAATTATGCAAATCACAGTCGCACTCAGAGACGATAGTTGGTCTCCTTTAGTATAGAATAAATATACACCAAATTTCTCTTTCAGTGACCAACTAAACTCTGTGTACATATGTACACAGTTTTGAAACTTTTACAAAAACCTTCTGTCTGTAAGTTCAAATATATCAGTAAGTGTTTTTAATATTGCATACAATTATGGAGTTAACCTTGAACTTAATGATGTGTTTAATTGAAAACATTTGCACTGAATTTCGCAAATCGCACATCTCTGAGTGCGACGACCGTGACATCTTTGGAATTGTCACACGGTGCCAACTCCACGATCGTAAGAAATTCACGACTTTACACCTCCATACTTTTTTAATTGAAATTTAATTACAACTTTACGATTGTACAGAATGTAGATTGTGGCTTTATGTAATTGTTTATACATGAATGGACTCGACTGAGGAATATTTGTATGTTTTCTTTGTTGAATATTTATCAGACATTAAACGGTAAATAAAATCTATTCCACTATAAGGAGAATTTATGCTTTTCTCTTAGGAATATTGACTTAAGTTGAGCTTTTATTTTGTTGAAGAGTCACATAAAAAGTTCGCAATATTTATCTTGCTTTTGTGCAATACGAAGGCGAGGTCTTTAGCAATTATTTCTCCAGCTCTAGTCCAGCAAAATAAATGATGAGAATTTGTGTAAAAACATTTTGCGTCTATATTAAATTCTCACAACAATTAAAATGCAACAATATTTAGATGATGTAGAAACTTTACTGCTCCATTAAGTCGTATATATCGCGCTAAAGATAGTTAAAGGGGGTCAGCAGTGTAATAACCTTGCAAAATAGCGCGTAATCCCATTGTGGATGGACGGTCCCACGGTCGGTAACGATGGTTACCACATTGTTTATTGCTGTGGGTCCGCCGCCCGCCGCCCGCCGCCCGCCCCTTGCCGCCCGCCTCCCGCCCGCGAGATGAGGATCTTAAGACTAATGAGATATGATTAGATACAATAAATCATAATATTATTTAAGGTCAACATGTGCAATTCTTAAACTAAAATAACTTTTTATTGTCTGATCGTTGGGAACCTCCCTCGTATCCTCCGCGTCGTCTTTATTAATTTTTGTTCCTCTTTAAAATCCTACATATGTTAGTTACAGTCATTAGTTAGCAAAGAATTGTGTTATGTGATTGTGTATACATTTGACAATGTATTCGGTAACATGACATAAAGCCACGCGTTGTTATTATGTTTTAATAACGCGCCAATTACGATTGTTATTGGAGTTCTTACTCAAAGTTATCAGACATACCCTTTGTTCTATTCATTGGTTGCAAATCTATTAAGTAGCTACATTTATTGTTGTTTCATGAGATTTTTGTTAAAATAGAATAGAATTGTCTTTTCTTAACTTTTACATAAACTTATCTGACATAACGGCAGCAGTAGGAAGGCCCTGCTGCTGCAATACTACGATCACATATATTAATTACAAAGTAGCTTTTTTTTAATATATATTACGAATGTATGTGCCGTGTCTACAATTCCATATACCTTTATTTTTTTCAATTTCCAGCACTTCTTCAGACCAGTTGTCCTCCTCCAGTGTGAACAATGTCGCAACAGAGAGTTTGCGGTATGCGGCTGTCGTCCCTTGGAGTCGTCGCCGTTCTACTCTACCTTATTGATCACTCACTAGCCGTAAGTGTCATGTATTAAATAATAAACAAAATATAATTGGATGACACAGTTTAAAAAAATAACAGCGAAGTGACCACTACCCATAGGCAACTTTAATAACAAAGATACATAGGAGTTGTCAAACTGAAAACTCTTTTTTTAAACACTCATTTTAGCCAGATGTATGCATATATAACTAGAAAGGACATCATGTCTATGACAGTAAAATTGTTGGATCTTCGGTGATTTTTTACAAGTAGTTAAAGACATCAACGCGCACCAACTTTATGTTATTTTGTAGTGTGTTAATTATGATTAATAGAGTTTTAATTTATTATTATATTTGATCTACACTTATATTAACTTATTATTTCACAATTTTTTTTAATTCGAAGTAATGACATAGACGAGATTACATAATATTGAAAATGATTGATCGCACAGCTTGTGTGAGTTTAACTCGACAAAAAGCACATGTCTATAATTAGACTGAATTTACTTAAACTATGTTTTTAAACACATACAATATAATTACTTTGATAATTGAAAGATTCAAAGGACACTCGGTCGAGTATCGTGGGAATATTTTTTTATTATTTTTAATTTCCATTGTTGTGTTTCGTGTTTATAACTATTTAGTTTTTTATTGACTTTGTCATGACTTTAATTCTTGCATTGAAATGTAATTTTTTATAAACTTTGTAAATTAAACTTGATTGAATTTGTAAGTTGTAATAAGAAGTATTTGTCGCAGGCGCTGGACGGATATGTTGCGGGCGAGGACTACCCGGACTTCGCGGAGGTGCCGAAAGGCCTGTCATTCACCTGTGATGATAAGATACCCGGCTACTATGCAGATCCAGAGACATCCTGCCAGGTAGACTATTAAGAGTATTATGAAAATAATTGTGAGGGTACTAGGAATTATAAAACTTTATCAGACATGTCTTTGTTTTATCAAACTTTGTCTGTGTGCGCAGGTGTGGCACTGGTGTGTGCCGAGCATTGGTGGCAACGTGATGTACTCGTTCCTGTGCGCGCCCGGCACCGTCTTCAACCAGCGCTCCCGCGTCTGCGACTGGTTCTACAAGGTCACCTGCAACTATAATACTTATGTCGCTCTTATCTTTTGTCCCGTTATAGTAATGTAAAATGCCTTACAGTTCAGGATTATAATTAGCTGATATACTTCTCAGTCCCGTCGATAAAAAAATGGCAATTATGTAAATATATGTATTGCGTCTAATAATTTATTTTATTATTTGATTTGCAGGTGGACTGTCAGACGTCGCCGGCGTACTACGCCATAAACGAGGACCTCTACAAAGACGAAGCTGGCAACTACATCGCGGGCAAAAAGTAGATTGTAACGAACAAATCTTAAAGACCAGAACACCGCGCACGCAAGCACGGGATCTGCCATTCAGTGCTCACGATTTATCTGAATTAGTTAATGTAATTATATAGTTAAGCAAATTGTGCAATTGCCTTCACGTAGTTACCTTTAGTTGTATTTTTGGTATGTTTATTGCTAGCCTTAGTTTATAAATAGCAAAAGTTACCATTAGAATAATTGCTAATAAATCTTTCAGGCGCCATAAGCAATTACAAAAATAAACATCAATGTCGAACAATAACAAGATGTTTATTATAAATATGTATTATATTACTATAATGATTGCTCATAGCGCCTGGAATATTGTTTTACGCTCGACGTTACGCTTGTTAAAAACTGTACCAATAAGCGTAACATCGACTCGCAGAAGATGACTGCGTTTTATTAGGTTATGTTACGACATTTATATTATAGCTTACACAGTTACCATACCTTAGTTAATAATTCCATATTAACTTCTTATGTACACAAAATAACAAATACCACAAAGCAACATCTAACTATAATTTAAGCGACCGAAGTTACCAATTACGTATTTATTTACAAATATAAGTATTATTAAAAACTGTACAAGAAAAAGACAAATTTACAATCTTTATAATGAAAATTGAAATATTTTTTAAATGCAGCAATTTGAAATATTGATATTTTCCTAGTACTATATAAGAAAAGGGAGCAACATAGAAAGGTAAAGATAATAGATTTTTATGGTGACTTAACTTTAAAAAGGTATGATAATATGACGAAATTACAATATTTTTGGAGTCGTAATCAACTAGAACATTTGTGTTTTCTTGCAATTAGCTGCTTTAGGAGATGACCATGTATAGATATAACATTATGTCAAAGATTCGTTTGGGAATGTCGCACTAAGCCAATTCACCGACAATTTTTTGAATGTACGCACTTATTTTTTTTTAATAATTTATGTGTGTAAATATATCATGAATTTGTAATATTTTGTAAATATTTTGAGACATACGTTATCTGAAATTGCTCTTATTTTTGACTAATGATTTATCTAAAATGAACATTTACAGAATCGTTACAAGAGAAAGGATTCAGATTAAAAGTCAACCGAAGCCCAAACGACGTATAGTGATCCGGCGCCGGCGACTGACAGACAAACAGACAGACACGACCGAGTCCACGGCGTTTAACGTATTGCCTGTAAACTCGTCATGACAGGGAAAGTACAGACCTGTGCAAAAGTGAACATGATGCTAAATTTTATTTCATTTATTTCTCAAAGTTGCTTTACCTAAAATCTGATACATCAATTTATTTTTGACAAACGACCTTGTTGAAGATGTTTCTAAATAAAAATTAGCTTTCAACTAATTTGATGTACGTCAAAAACTCCATGATTTATTGGTTTATTGATTCATTGAAGTAAGTTGTTGTAACTGCTTAAAATAGTTAATCAATAACCCGTTAGATCCGACGCTTACCAAGATTGGATTGACGCTTGAAGTACAAAAACTTGTTAACAAAGCCCTTCGCTTTAATATATTGTATGTTCATGTATAGTTCATACATACATACATACATATATATGTATGACGTGTATAAACTTGTAGTGTAAATAAAGCAAGATTTGTATGTTTTGTAATAAATGATTAAGAAAATTGTTTTTGTTTTATTAAAAGTCTTGTTGTGGTTTTTATATTCTTATACCTTATTTTGATGTACAGTATAACAACAAGTAGCAAAGTCACAATAAGAAAGAATTTGTGCCATCCTGAAGAGACTACTGATGTAATGATGTTTTTTTAATAAAAAAATGAATTGGTTATGAACATTTAAATATTGTGTAGTAGATTTGTAAGGAAATATTTTTTGTGGAAATCTTAAGGGATGCATCTGCAATTGAGTTTATGCTTAAAAAATGTTTAAGCACTGGTCATAAGCTTAAATATCCCTTGACTGAGGACGAGTTGTAGAATAATTTATGTTGTCGACTGTACTCGCCTGCATTGAACTGACTGATGAGGCCGTGTGCGTGTTTGTGTATGTATGTCCGTTTGTGACAACAATTGTACATACATGAAGACGCGATCACAATGAACTTTTGCAAACTTTTCGTACTTTTATTAAACAATTTTATTTCATTTAATTAATATATGAACATCATACATATATGCTTTGTTATTGTATAAGAATATAGGTTATGTTAAAGTTGATTCCTGTATATTCTTCCTGATATTTATATAACTATAAGTGCTTTGTTTCTACTGTCTATTTAATAAACTTTGAGAAGCTACCTTTACCCCGCCACGGGAACGGATGCGGCTGCGGCAGGCTGTGGCGCCAGTGAACGACTGACTCGGTGCGTGAGCGCACGCCACGTAACACTACAACCAATATAAAATAAAACGATATAAACAACCGCGAATTCCATTATTAAAACAGTACAGTTCGGAAGACAATTCAAATTTAAGAAGTGTGAGTCTTTTTTGTATGTTGTTTTTTTTAATTCTGTAGATCGCTGTAGACATTGTCGCGTTTGCTATTATGCCAGTTGCGTAATGAGATTTTCGTAAGTTTTTTGGTAACACTGCAGCGGTTAAACGGTTACAGAAGTAGTTGCGCGGCTAACTCGATGCTGTTGCTGTAACACATTGAATGCTATTCAATGCAATCGTTGCATACGAATGCTAAGACTTTTTATAAGTTGTAAGAAGGTCGCAGCTTCAGGTAAGTGAATGTTTATTGGAATCTTATTGGATTCGTTCGGTTTATTTTGTTGGTTTGCATAATTGTTAAGTAATCGTTTGGTAGTTTTATTTTGAGAATACTTTTTATTAAAATTAAATCTTATTAATGTAATTGATAATACACGAGTATGTTTTTTTTATCTATGGCATGTCTGGCATGTGTGGCATGGTATGGCCACAAAACATGAGCACCAAAAGTTAACTTTTTTTTTAGGTTTTGTCCAACACTCATTCAGATGTCGCTGTACGTTTCTGTGTTCTTGAACTTTAGGGTTTTTTTTCCAACAACTTCTGTATGTAAGGTATCAGACTTTACAGTAGCGGGCGTTAATTTCCTACCCATCCCAATGAATTATTATTTGTCCCTTACAAAAAACGATCGAAATCTAGTCATAGCAACAAATATAAGTTATTGATTATAGCTTTTATGATAACAGTATGCTGTACTACATTTACTATATCCAATCATATCGATACTCAAGAAAAGCAGCAATATACGAGTAGATGTTAAATACTATGAGTATTAACAAAAACTGTCTGAAACTTATCGTCACCTTCGTCAATTCAAATGACAAGGTTACTGCAACTGATTTGATGCAGAAATTCGAATACGACCTTCGCTTGCTCTTACAAACTGTCTCTGTAACTTTATTATATTATTTTAAGTTAGTAAATTCAAAAAATCAGTTGTTTTAGTATATTATGTGCTTTTTGTATATTTGTTTTTTTTTTATACAATTTAGCTCTCAAGGGTAAATATTTTCTAATCAAATGTAGATATTGACGGATGTCTTATTTTTATGTATAATAAACTTAACACAGATGTATGCTTATATTATACATAGCTGATTCAACTTATCAAATTGTTTATAATAACGAAAATATAACATAGAGAGTGTTTGTAAATTCTTGTATTAAATTATTTACATAAATGTTTTGTCTTTTTATCTGTTTGATTGAGTCACAAATAATATTGATTATAAATAAAAGAAATTACATTTCGAGTTTGAAAACCTCTCTATCTCGAGTTCTTGATAAGCCGTAATCGAAAATAATTACTATAATTAAGCAATGGAATTGGTAACAAAACATGTACATGTAATTAGTAATTTTGGGGTCAGTTGCTAAAGAAATTGCGAGGCATTGCCGAATTATCGTAATTAATACTGACAGTTGGCACAATACTGTAACACTTACTATGTCGGACATTTTTTATAAGTGAACTTAACCCAGTTTCGTTCGTAACTTAAATGTAACTTAACTGAATTGTACGACAAAGACTGGTGATATTATTGACCTTGAAAACAGTAAATAGTATAACCTTCAAGAAAGGTAGCCTTCAAATTCCAAAGAAAAAGTCTTAACTGTGTGCATCAACTGTTAAATTTACTTAAGTAAGTTATCATCGTATATAACCATACCTCAACAGCATTCTACTTTGCTAACTTCCACTTTGCTTACCAAAAGTCTTATAATTTTACTAGTTTTATTAAGAAATAATGGTTATTAGTTTGAACTTAATTATTACATAAGCAAATTAAATTACTTGCACCGTACCTTATGAAGTTGTCATGGTATTTTCCAGGTAACATGAAGTCTTTGTGTGATTGTTGTCACGTATCTTGTTCGGTCATTGGTCTTGGAAAAGAGGTCGTAACGGTCCTCTGACATTATTAAATATTTTATGTAACTTAGCATACGTACATACGACATATTTTTGGGTGAAATATGTAAAAAAAAATTTTTGTTTTAGCCTTAATTTACTGTGGAATTAACTGCTATGCCTGAGGTAAAAATTGAAAAGTTCATTCTGTTATTACAGCTAGTGTTTCTATGATTAGTTTTGCATCATAACTATATAAGTATCAAGTTATAAAAAGGTTCATGTTATGTTTTATTGCGTATCTATTTCTCAGTTACTTAGCATTGGTTCTGCAGTTAAAAAGACATCAACGCGCACGAGTGACTTGGCTCCTCTCTCAAACACAACATGTGTTTCTTCTGTATATCTTTATTTACTTTCATGAATCATGGTTTAGTAAATATCATAAACATATCCTGATTATGTTCCCTTTCCTTTCCACCCTCTGCATAAAAGCAAAGAATGGATTTGACGAAGGAGAGGGCGCATTGAACAGGGAAATATTGTCTCTCTGTTCGTCCCCTCCTCCGTTGATTAGGGTAGGCAATGCATTCCGGGAAATTCAGGTAGCCCCTTGCTCATTTACCACCTAATGATATAAAAAAAGAAGATATCCAAGTCTCCATTTGATGTTATAAAAGTCAAAAGGAATTTCAAATATACCAAATAAATTATTTTACTTAAATATAGCTTATTTATTAAGTTTACTTATTTACCAAGTCTATTTGCATGTGCAGTGATGACATTGTTTTTGCAATGTTTTCGCTGGTGACGCAATTCTTGCAATATTATATATCTCTTGATAAACATGTACGCGGCGGCTGAAGTGCGCAGAGAAAGTAAATACCGTACATGTGTGTGATCTATCGTCCACTCTAATATGATCTCTTTTTGTATTACTATACTTTAGTGTCTGGGATCAGATGTTCCTGGTAGCATTGTCCATTTAAGCAAGACATTTGTTTACTTGAATGTTAGTAGTGAACAAGTGTCACAGATAATTGGTTAATGATGACATACTGAGGTGTCATTGGAATAAAGATTTATGTTATTCAATTGAAATCAGTTTTTCTGTTTCGCTTTCAATTATGCAATAAATGTTTTGCGGGTAATTGTATAGGTTTCCTATGTATGATAGAAATTTCTATGTATGAGGATAACTTTAAATAATCATTTAAATATTAACTTAGTAGAAAATTATTCTTCTAGAAAGTCTATTCTTCTTAGTAGAAAGTATATTTCATCTTTACTGAGTATTTACTAAGGTGATGTTTGATGTTCTGATATATTAAATATGACCTTTTGAACATTTTATGGACGTATCTATAAGGAAAACTACAGAATTACACGTGACTTTTGCCGAAGGTCGTATCGTTGGGAAATTTGTAATATCTACATGTTGATGCATATCATTAAAGTGTGTGAAATGTGACTTAAGAGAGGGGGTTGGCTTGGGGGGGATAGATTCATATTTTTGTGTATCTTTTTAACTATGTCTTGACTTATTCTGAGGGTGCGACAGTGATACAGATTTGGATTATCGTATATATATGTACATAGTGGTCGGGTCCTCTTAATACCTTTTATTAGTTTCTTAACAATTTTTCCTCAGTTATAGCAATAGCAGTTTACTGCAGCTTATAGTTATAACGGTTATAGCAGCAACATTAGTTATAGCAGTTGTTTTAGCAGTGATGTTGTAAAAGCGAATTTGTTGTCAATGTGACAGCTGGTTGGGTTGCAGACCTTGAGGCGGGTAACAGCGGACACTGGGTTACTGGCTGTCGTTTCGCCATTCGTTGCACAAGCGACTTGCGCAGTATCAGCTGCTTACGTAACGTAACACCGGTCGGGTAGGGTCAGGTATTATTTGTATCGATAACTAGGAAATGTGGCACAACCCTAATGCTACAGGAATTTCAAATACTAATAACTTATGTTTACTAAACATATTATTTTATTAATACGTCTAATAAGACTATTTTTGAATATATAAAATTATTTGATAGTAACTAGTAATATTATTGTAGCTATATTATATTAAAAATCAGCAATCAGATTTTATATGTAAAGATGAAACAGAAACAAGAGTGATAGATATGTATAATATATAAATTAAATCAGTTACTTTTCTTGTGGGTCATGGTCGCGATGGCTTTATATCGTTTTACATTTAAATATTTAAATAAAAAACACAATATGAAACTATGTCACAAAGTTAAGTTCATTATGAATCTTCATTATCATGTTATTTTTCGTAAATCAAAAGGTTAAATAAATTAACGGTTCTCAAGTATAATATAATAATACTTCAAGTTTTATAACTAAAGTGACAATGAAGGTCTGTTAGTAAGTTGCATCTAATGTAAGAAAAAAATAAGTTATTGAATAAATGTACAGATACTTCCCGGAAGGTAACATTTAACATATATCTACACATCCGGTAGAATTTAATATAACTGCAAGCGATAGGACTTAATACAATCTATTAAATATGTATTATGTTAAGCGATTCCTTTTACTATTTATTAAATTTCCATTTTGTATCTCTCCTTTTTCCTTTGTAGTGTCGGCGTAATAAGTTTTTGTAGTCCAGGTCGATTTATCTTCCGTCATCTCAGTCGTCACTCTCTTTGATCATGTCACGTTTCATCATATTCCTTCCTAATTCTACATCTACTGATGTACATCTCAAAAAGTTCCGCTTAAATGGTTTGCTAAAAGTGTAAACACATAACAGAAAAATGTAATAAACTATTAATAAACAAATTGCTAAACAAGATGTCTTCATTTGTGTTACAAAAACTTTATCTGCCAAGTAAATTCTGTTTGTGTCGAGATCGATGAATCTAAACTTCCGTCATTTATTGAAGCGTGTCGCTGTAAAAACTAACATTTATTATGTTAGCTCATCGTGACAAGTTAGAAATAAAACTTAGTTTGTTCTCCACTAGATGATAGATTTGATCATCATCATCCAACCTCATCATCATCTCTACAGAATGATCTCTATAGAAAGCACATTATGTACTACTCTTTCATATTAAGACGTTAATCAGACTTTACTCAATTGTTGCTTTTAAAAACTTGTTAAGATTTTATCATTTCCGTTTAGGCAGACTAATTATATTCGTGTCTTAAATTATTTAACTGAACAAAATGCAATCGATTCATCTAAGTAAAGGTGTCATATTTCGGTTTCGTTTTAGAATATAATTTCAAACTTTTACTGTACGTAATCTTACGATTTAGAAAATAAACTGTCCAAGAGACAGTCCTCAAAGTACGCGTTAATTACACTTAATTGTTATGGACTCTCTAATGAAATACAAGTAATA